TACAATTTTTGCACAGCATTTTGGGAAAAAAAAATAAATTACCTTCTCTTAACTTAAGGATGCTGAAGAGAAAAATATAACACAATTTTATCGATTGAACCTTTTTGAAGCTCGACTATGATGTTTTTCCTATACCTCTGGTGCCTAAAACATAATTGATGCGCAAGCGAAGTGTTCTCATTAGCAATAAAAAGTTGAATTCATTGTCTAATTGCCAAACCCATATAAAATGTCATGGGGATCCACACATTTCACACATTTCAGTCAGAACCAAAGGGGTCGAGTGATTTCATAGACCTACACAGCAAGTACGGAAAAACAAGTTGCCTTTCTTACAGTTTTCTCTCTGGTCGTCACTTTGGGACTCACAGATGTGTTTGATTGTTGCATTTGCCAACTTTTGTCTCTTAGTTTTAATGCGATTTATGTATAAACCGGACCAAACATGCTGCCGGAACGGGAAAAGATTGCATGCAACATGGATTGAGGCTCCTGGAAAAGATGAAAAGGTAAATGATGCAAAATATTGTTGTGTCTCACTACTGAACGGGAAACGTGATGATTAATAGCAAAATTAATTGTTTTACATTATCTTAGTGACTTTGAAAGAAAGCAACGATGGCAGCAAGTGGAATCTTTTGCAATCGCTTTGCTAAATGAATGTTCTTTAAACAACGATAATAACTGAGCCTTTCTTTAACCTGCTTACTGACCTGCTTACTTCACTCTCACCAGACAATTGGGGAGAACACACAAGAAGCTCAAGGGGATCAATACCATTTTATGTTTAATCATTATGTATTGTTTTATTTTAGGCAAGGCAAGGCCTTGAATGTGTGTAGCACATTTCAACAACAGGGCATTGTGAAGTGCTTCACATAAAACTAAGAAAAACAAATAAGCACTGATTAAAATTTTCAACAGTCAAAACCTTAAACAAGCCGATGTGGTAGAAGATTTTGCACAGACAATCGGTAACTGAGAATAAAGGCTCTGAATTAAATACGTCTTTCTCCATTTATTTCCTTGCAAGGGAGGAAAGGTCACAACAGCTACGTGCTCAGTAGACTGCCAAGAACCTCCCTCCCTCACAACAGGGCCAGGCGGTTCTTCTACCTGCAGGTGGCCTCCAAACCAACCTGTTGTGTCTCTACGGCCAGGAGACTGCCATCTGACTCTGACGCTCCAGCTCTTTTTCATGGCCACACCACCCCAGCACTTGCAACCTATAACCTTGTTCGTACAATGAAACATTTTGAAGGGTTACATACATTTTTGCCGTTACACCGAAAATAGCAACATAACATTTGCAGAACAGTTTGAAGAAATAAATAAAATACTGTATGCTAAAAGTTGAGTTGCTTCAATTAGAGGGAGCAGCAAACAGATGAGTTTACTATCTTGTCTTTAAGCCGTTGAGAGTCTAAGCAAATGTTCAGCTTTTAGGGAGTTTATTCCACATATGTGGTGCAAAAAACCCCCACAGTAAATACTCGAATCATGACGGACGTTGCCTCTCGAGTTTTCGCTCACTTGTGCGCACAAGGCTAAATCTTAATTCAGATACTCTCAATCGCATGTTATTCATAGAACCTTCCCAGCATGTCTAGATCTTTAATCGAAGGTCATACTGAAGAATTTCAAAATCATTGAAAGGCCCCGCAGAGGCCCTCATTGAGGATGATGCACTCTGTTACCTCATCTCTGTATATGCGGTAGGTTAGTGCTCGCTAGACCAAATGAAGGCTGGCTCATGCAGTGAGCTTTTGTCCCGTCATCCCTCTGGTAATGTGCGACTGCTGGTTAAGTGATTTTTTTATACTTGGCATTCCGTTTACACAACTGTAAACAATCTTCATGTCCCCGGAAAACTCTTCCTATTTGGTAATACAGATATTCGCTTGTGCTCAAGGTCTAACATCCCTTACATGTTTTGAGAGTTCTGAGCACATTGTCAGGATGAAGTTTAAACCATGGCATACAATACAGGTGCCCAAAAGCACAGATTATTCCGGAGGAGGCGAACCACAAGACATTAGTTGAAAATGTAGATTTAGTTGGAAGCTAAATAAAGGAGGGCTGAATACAGCAAATTGATGTGATTTTGCACCTAGGCCATTAAAAAATGTGTGAAGGCAGTCAATGCAGATTTCAAACTAACATGTTTTGTTATTAATGCCCGACCAGCCACCAAATTATAAACAGGGTTTCTTACCCTGGTAACAGCTTTATTATGAACCCAACTGCTTTTCTTCACTGTTATCAACAACCTGATTTATCAGGTCTATGCTTAATCCTTAACAACAAGCTATGCGTTATATAATTATAAAAGAAATTCAGGGGATCCCGATTCATATGATGTCCTTCACTGGGAAAAATGTTAGTTCCAACCACATACTACTGGGATCATTACATCATTATGATTGCTTTTCTAATTACCTTGAATGTCTGAACAAAATCCGTTCTTTTGCTTTCCTGAAGACACAGGATGCTCTTTTTCAGAAACTGCATTGTATAATACTCTGAGCATGTTTACTCAAACCTCCTTCAATAGTCATATTTATTGCTTATGAGAATAGGAATAATTTGAGAATCTCATTGTGTTTTTCACTGCAAGGACCAGTAAATCCAGCACAAGAACTAAGTGAACAGAGACCCCCCCCCCCCCTACTGAGTGCCCTGCTGTACTCCATCTTCACATAAGACTGTGTGGCCTCGCAGGAAAACGCCACTATCACCAAGTTTGCAGATGATACCACGGCCGCTGGAAGATGATTATCGACCCAAGAAGATGCAGCACACACAATTGTACCTTGATGAGATCAAGACGGAAAGGGTGAGAACCTCTAAAATCCTGTGAACTCACATCAGCGAGGACCTCACCTGGTCTCACAACGAATTCACAAATAAGTGAACACTTAGTGTGTTATTGTAATTACAGTGCAAAATAAGTTAATTTTATTTTATTGTACAGACCAACTTGTTAACTGACGTGACAATAAACATCTTGAATTCTATTAGGGTAAACTTATATTGGAAATGTATAGCTTTTTACCATATTTTGTCAGCTGTCATTTAAGAAGACAATTATATAAAGAAAGTTTAGCTTTAAGAAAAGGAGAAAAGCAGAATCATAGCCCATCGTGGGTTGTGATCATTGGATCACACAATGGCCCTTTGGTTGTTAAGGAGAAGTCCTGTAGTTTGAGGGCTCTCTGACAGACGTTGTGAGCCCTTTATGAACCTCATCAGAAGGGAATGACCCATAAGTCATTGCAATGTGACGTTAAACATGGGATTACCGGTGGAAGCATGGATACAGAGAAAAACAACCTTATGAAATTGGAGGATATTTACACATTTATTCATCAAATGTTTCCTTCATCATATCGTCATTTAAGATATTTTGGCAGAGAACAGTAAAACAGAATTTGAAATTATTTTTCATCGTGTGAGGACAGACCAGGAAATACATTCAAATGAAGTTTGAAATAAATACTCACAGTTGGAATTACGTTGTCATGGTGACGTGAAATGTTTTGCAGACCCGTTTGTATTTACGCAATTCCAAGTTGATCGATTACTACAGTGCACTGACTCATTTCAAACAAGCTATATTTCTTAGATTTAATCCTGTCACAGTGATAGGCGCAACAGTCTTCTTAAAAAGAACATTTCAAACTTTTTTCTTTTGTTAAATAGTGGCGTTGTTCATTTTGGTAGAACAAGTAATGCATTACAACAAGCCACGTACAGAGCGAGGGAAGTAGGGGTGTATAATAAGTCCATGTACTAAAGACACTCTTCGAAAGTGCAGACAGACACTGGAGACCCTTTTAAACCAGTCAAACAGAAAAAAGCAGTAAAAGAAGACAAAGGCTCAGGCTCACATCCTTCTGCATTAGTCCACATTAGCAACAACCAAAATAAAAATATATAACTGTGAACATGGTGACCTTGCAGGTGTTTTGTTCTCATAATCAAAGAGGCTTTTTTGAATAAACGAGCATTTACAACTTTAGCAAATTTGAACCATCTTTCTTATTAGTATTTTGCATATACAACTCCATTTTAGACATTTACCTTTGTGAGACCCCCCCCATGTCCCAGGTGGCCTTGTGGTTTTAGTTGTTTTTTGCAGGTGCTGCATTGGAGTGTCGTCAGCTGGATGAGCCACACCTGAGCCGGGGGGGGGGGGCACGGCCTAAAATCTCTTCTCCACTTGGCAAACGGGGGTTGAGAAAGAAGACCTGCTGGGGTCTCTGAGACCGCTGCTCTGTTGTTCTGTTTTGTGCTCACTGCCATACACACATACACATCTACACCACTGATAACTGATACTGGTTGTTGACAATAAACGTGTTCCTTCTTAGTCGACCTAAACCCTGCTGGAATCATCATAATCAAACATAGAATTTAACCTTTGTACAGTACATCCACTCCCATGATTATAATTAAATAAAGGTTACATGTGGAGTTCACTTCTGACACCCATCCTGAAACAGGATGGATTACCAAATAAACCAGCTCTGCGTTTAAAAGGTTTGTTATCCCGCAGGGTCTCGTGCTGATGGCAGGAGACTGGCCTCTCTGCCAGTTGTTTTTAAATCACACAGGCTCTTGTGTCAAGTTCTGTCTTCCCCTCAACTCCCCCCCCCCAAAAAAAAATGAAAAAGAAAAAGATATGTCAGTCTTTCAACTCAGTTTAGTTCAATCAGCTTGACTGGAGGGATTCAAGAAGAACGCTGTCACTTCTATGTGGTCCTTGGGTTTTGGTTGTTATTTCATTGAACGTGTTGCGTTTTATAAGGAAGCGTATTTGTGTCTCAGCATCACCCATTGAACAGTAACCATGCAACCATGGGTTTGTTTTTTTTATTTCCTTTTTAGGTTGCCAGCTTTTGGTGTCTGATAGGATGCGTCTGCGTTCTCTCTCTCTCTCTCTCTCTCTCTCTCTCTCTCTCTCTCTCTATCTCTCTCTCTCTCTGTCTCTGTCTCTCCTCTTTAAAATCAGCAGCCTTGCTGCTGAGTTGCTTGACACAACCTGTTGATTTCGCTTCTGCATCCGCACAGGGACACCGGGGACGCAGTTTTTTCACATTACACTGAAAGGGGCAAAGTGCTGAAATGAGAGCGCCGTGCGCTTGGTTTTGCGCGCTGCTCTGGATCGGCAGCGCTGCTGCAGCGGTAGCGGCGGGACGCAAAGTCAACGACTCTTCACTTCTGGGAGAGGAGACGTTTCCCCTCACGGCGCATTTGCGCAACGGTTCGGGGCGGGCGGGTAACCGTACTTCAGGGTTCCTCCTGTTGGACTTCGACGAGGGGATGCTGGAGGACTGGCGCTCTCTGGCCAGCAAGAAGCGCCGCGGCGGGGAGTCGCAGGACGGCGGCGTCAAGGCGCTGCTGGTGGCCGCCTACTCCCTCATCATTGTCATCTCCTTGTTCGGGAACACCCTGGTGTGCCACGTGGTGGTCAAAAACAAGCGCAACTTGTCCGCCACCAGCTTGTTCATCATGAACCTCGCTGTGGCTGATATCTTCATCACCGTCCTCAATACTCCGTTCACCCTGGTAAGTACTTCTGTGTGTTTCACCTGAAGACAGAAATATGTTTAGATAGTAACATCGTGAAGACTCACTCACCCTTAAAAAGTTGTTAAAATAGTATGGTAAAGACTTAAGGTTTGGATGACTGTATAAAGCAATTAGTAGTTATGATCTCCAGGATATTGTCCTTATATGTGAGTGTGTGAGAGAGAGGGAGAGGTCTATTTCTTAGTTTGTAACTTGCTTTTAATCAGATTACCATTGCCTATTAACTAGACACACATGTGCTTCATGAATGCTCAAGTCGCTTAGTGGTCACAGAGGAACAGACCATAACCGTGTCAGTTGATGTTTCGATGCAATGATCCACGTGACCTCTTCTTCTCTCAGGTCCGGTTTGTGAACAGCACCTGGCTGTTTGGGAGGACAATGTGTCACATCAGTCGCTTTGTACAGTACTGCTCGCTGCACGTCTCTACTCTCACCCTCACCGCCATCGCCCTGGACCGCCGGCAGGTTTGTCTGCAGCTCGATACCTTTCTTTGTTCTGTACAGAGATCTCAATTTGAAGTTATACCATCAAGTGTTTTTAGCTGGAAGGTTCCCATGTTTGTCCATGGCAGTAGTGGAAACTTTTATTTTAGCTTACTTATTGTACTTTTTACTCCATCACATTTTTCTGATAAAGTTAGCTCCAATTCCTATTAATTAACTGGCAAACTAATTTCCTAAGCTTGAACCAGTGGCACAACCTCTTTGGCTTGTGAACAGGGGCCCTTGTATGAGATCAGCAGCAGCTGCAGCGTCAACTTCTCATCTTGTCGATAAAGTGGTTTGCAGCTAGAACTTGAGTTGCCTTTGACTCCATCTTAAGATAATAATTAAATTATGAGCCGGCCAGCTTCCCCCCTCTACCCCTCTCTCCTCAGCATTGGTAAGCAGCGGAGATACCTGTGAACAGATCAAAGGCTTTGATCTTGTTTTACAGCCGATCCCTTTCCCTTACAAATCAGATTCTATTAACATGTCAAGAAAACCCTCTTCACATGCTAAGCCCACATAGGGGGCAGGAGGATGTAAACAGCAATTTCAGACTCTCATAAATCACAATTTTGTCTCACTGCTGGAGGCGTAGATATGTATGTATAGTTGTATTTTGCCACACAATATGTGGTTCAAAGAATTGCAACAAAAAAACTCAAATGCCACGGCAATAAGGAGAAGAAAGGGAACTAACTACATTATATCGCAGATGGACAGTGAGAAATTAAATGGTAAATAGAATCCTCTGTAGAACAAATGATATTTGCCTAAAATGTTGTCAAATCTACTGTAATGTAGGTGTATGATAAGCTCAGGTCATTTACAATATATATATTATATACATATTATATACATACATATATATACATACATATTTATTTCTCAAACACCAATAGGCAACATACTACAAATTATCAATGCCATGCCGACATAAACAACAGTCTTTTCATTCCAGCATCACTTTTTAGTGCGAGTGGGGAAATTAAAATTTGCCCTGAAAATACAACCCTCGAACAGCTCTTATGGAAAGAACTTTGCTTTTTCATTACCATTCATCATTTCTTTATTTCTTTCCTTCGAAGCTTTGTGGGAGACTCGTGCTCTACAAAGCTCAAAGGTATTTTATTACGAGTACACACCTACTTCAGTGCCTACTCAATGCATTAGTATTTTCTCTTCAAGTGCAACGAATTTTGGATTCAAATCCTGCATGGACACAGTTTGCTACCACTGACACTGTCCGAGGTGCTGAATTTGAAGGCTGCAACATCGTTAAGCTGGTGAATAATGATTGAGGATGATGATGAAGTGAATATTTCAGGCATTCCCGTGAAATCATTTAATTCGGTGTATCTGTGAATGTCAACTTTACAGCATTTCTGCTATATTTGTGCTCGGCTAAAGCTAAGGGACAGGTCTGTGACTGAAATGTAGATATGTTTGAGCTTTTTTACTGGTAGAAAGCTCAGTGCTTTTGATGCTCTTGTGGCCACAGTCACATTCCAATAGCAATTCATATTATATGCATACACTCATTGGCCTTGAATGTCCTAAGGCTGTTATTCATTCCACTAAATCTTTAATTACACCTATTATACCCTCTTTGTGATCCTCCTATGCTATACTGCACGGTTTTGCTGTGCAGAGAAAAAAAGGATTTTTAAGTGCTAGAATGGCTCCCAAGTTATAATTTGTATGCAACGATATTGCCTCTAAAATAACATTACAATAGTTTTAGGATATATTGTAATAAGCAGAACATATATTGATGTTTTAAATTCCTCCAAAGCACTTTATGAATGCCTAATTTAAAACACATTGATTCACACAATGTTGTCTGTATGATTCTCGTTGTCAGCTGCCACAGCTTGAACATTTAAAAAAAGTGCACATTTTGTCATCATTAATAATGTCCAAACTATTCTGTTTAAATCCACTTTTTTTCCGAGGGGAGAGAAGAAGATGATGTTGTTGCCCCTTTGAAAAAGCTTCCAAGGGTTTTCCTATTTTTGTTGCATAAAAGTATTCATAAACCTATGAAGAGGCTTACTCTGCTCCCTGTGTTTCCTCCCGTCCTCATGTTGAAATGTCATTCAGAATCCTGAACAGTTCCAAAAGGCCGTGCCATTTGTGTCTGTGAGTCAGCGAGCATCTGTTTGTATTCTGCTTCTGAAGCAGGTGGCCCCTTGAATGACAGCCTCTGGCATCAGTGTATAAATGTGTGTGTGAATGGGTAAAGCAAAAAGCACTTTGAGGGGTCTGAACCACTTACCCTACTCGTTATGTCTAGGAGAGGGAATTAGACATCTAGAGCGAGAGAAGTGAAGCTCCAAAGTCAGCCTTATTCCAGCCGTCGACACGTTCACCCCCCAAACTCATCAAATCCATCCTCCATCCTGCGGAAACCCATTTCGGTCGCTTGAACCCGCAACTCGATCATCGGCGATGACCGATCCTTCATGACCGTAGGTGAGGGTGGGAACGAAGATTGACCGGGAGGTCGAGTGCTTCGTCTTCTGGTCCCGAACGCTTCGCACTCGGCTGCGAACCGCTCCGGTGAGAGTTGGAGGTCACAGAACGCGGAAGCAAAGAGCAACGATGAGATCCGAAGCGCCCCAAACTGTACATAGTTCAAATTTTTTAAACAAATCTATGGTAAAATCTATCATTTTTGACTTGGATTAGCAGAGTGTGTTGAACCAAATCCCAAGGTGAAAGACAGATTTTCAGCAACCATTTTTTATATTTCTTCATTTTGTGTAGCAGAACCTGATCCGTTTGTAAAACAGCATTAACTAAAAGAGTAAGAGTTTGATTTGCACAGCTGATTACACAGCGCCACGAGGCACTGGAGAAAATGAGGACAATGGAGGTGGAGGGCTTCAATTCAGACAGAAACTCAAAGATGTAAAAACTGACTCAAATCTGTGTGGTGATTTTCTTTCAGGTGATTTTGCACCCTTTGAGACCTCGCATGTCCCTGACACAAGGCGGTGTTTGGGTTGCTGTTGTATGGATGATGGCTAGCTGCTTCTCCCTCCCGCATGCGATCTATCAAAAACTCCTGACTTTTATGTACAGGTAAAATGATACACACTCAAACATTATAACAAAGAGAGATCCTGTTGATTGTTGTGTAACATTTATATAGAAGGTTGGTAATAGAAGAAGATATTAGGGGATTACAGGCCAGCATGTTGTCGACAACTCCATCAACACTGTCCTCCTGCTTTTTTAATCATATACAATATAAAATGTGTGGACTCTTTCAGGGTTTTATCAAGCAAAAGTAAGCTGTATAAACAAGTCTCATTGGGTGAAGCATAATGGCTTATATCCCCAATTTTCGGTGGTTTTATTAATAATGTTTTATTAGAGCAGGCCGACACTCTCCTGCGACCTAATGCTTGCTCACTAATCTGTCCTTCTTGCTTCCCCCGTAACACACCTCACCAGCAAGGAAAAAGAGCGCAGTTTTTGTATCCCAGACTTCCCAGAGCCCGCAGAGGTCTACTGGAAGTATATTGACCTCCTGACCTTCATATTGCTTTACATGCTGCCACTCCTCATCATCACCGCCTCCTACACCACAGTGGCCTGTCGGCTGTGGAGCCACAACACCATCGGTGACACCACAACGGCGCAGCACGCTGCGCAGAGGAGAAAGCGGCGGCGGACGTTGGCCATGTTGCTGCTGGTGGTCGGGGTGTTTGCAGTCTGCTGGTTCCCCCTCAACTGCTACGTGGTGCTGCTGTCCAGCCAGGCCATCCACTCCTCTAACGCCCTGTACTTCTGCTTCCACTGGCTGGCCATGAGCTCCACTTGCTACAACCCTTTCATCTACTGCTGTCTGAATCCAGCCTTCCGCGCCGAGCTGAGGCTCCTCTTCGACATCTGCAGGAGGAAGCGAAGGGCGGCGGCGGCGGCGGTCGAGCTGGAGCCAGAGCTGCGGCCAGTAGCTCCTCCCCGTCACAGGACCGCCTGGCCCGACGACCACGAGGCGCCGGGGCCGAGGCCCGCTTTGTCCCGCACGGGGCCTGCCTCCTCGCAGCCGAGTCACACCACCTCCAGTCACTCCCACAACCTTAAAGATACACATGTTCTCTTCACGGCCAGACAGGTCCTCAGCGGGAAAATTGACATCCTCTCGGTGGAACCCATCGTGGCTGTCAGCTGAGTGGGAAATAACTGCCGCAGTTGGAAGGGGGTGGTGTTTTAAAACGGACAGGAAATCAGAAAATGCCAGAGCTGGCTCGGCGTGTCTTCACAGGATGTTAATAGAAGCAGAGGACATGGTTTCATTAGTGGCTTTAAATAGAAGATTTTAGAAGGTTGTTTTTGCATCAGTTTGAATTAGTTTGAATACTATTTCAAAATGTAGTTTCTTAATGTGCTCTCCCCCGAGTTGGCTTTCATTTTGTCTATAAAAAAATGTTCATCTTGAAAAGAGCAAACAATTTCAGCATATGGTCCATTAAGTAGATGTTCTACAGCTTTCCACCAATTTGTATAAAGGATTTTCATACTGTTGCATCATTGAGACTAAAATACGTCAAATAAATACAATGGGATGCAAACGCAGCTCATTCATCTTGTCACCTAAACCTTATTTATTGTACAAAAATACATATCGGGCATTGATATTCATATTCTGAATAGGTCTGTCTGTCATTTCTTTCAGCAGCCTTCACAGGTCTGCATGACCACAGGAACAGTGGACATACGATATGTGCATGTTAAGAACAAAATCATGTTCATATTGATCCACTGGTCCCATTCAGTACATGTTGCTACCCAAACTGCTTACCCAGAGTATAGCGTGTTAAAAAACAAAGTGGTTATATGGTCGTTCTTCTATGCTTGTTTTCTTTCTATGTGTATTATGCCCTCTACTAGAGTAATTTGAATGACTTTAAAAACAGATTTTCCCTCTGAAAAATTTCCATCATATTACAGATGTGAGAGAACAAAAGGTCAAAAACAATTTTTAGTTTTTTTTTTTTAAACCCAAGCAGCTGAAATGATACAATAAATAAAAGTAATGGTGCTGATGATTTTCAGAACAATCTGGAGTAGAAAAGAACAGCAGCATTTAGCTGAGAAAAGAAGGCATTATCTTTACATTCAGAATTTGTAGCTGAATAAGTTAAATAGAAATGTATGTTAATCAAACAGTAATATAACAAAAAGCAGGATTGCAGGGAAGATGTAGAACACGTGTTTGCCTTGTGAACAAAATATATTGTTATGTTGTATGTTAAAATGTTCCTTTGTGCATGTTTTATTTAAAAGAAACTGAAACTACTTTACTTTTGGATTGTCGGCTTTTGGGCAACTGAAGAAATTATCATCAGTTCATAAATGCGAACAACATTGTGTTTTGCTGTTTGTTACTGTGAATGTTTGTCATTGACTAAAATAAATGGTATTTGGCTTGATCATATTTCACGAGACATATTGCTGCTGTCTATATCTCCTGAAAGAAAACACATCATAGTGATGGTTAAACCTTCTAAAATTCCTGAAAGAAACCATGTGAATCCTGATGTTTCTATGATTAACACATTTATATTAACAACGACTACTTGCATTTAAAAGGAGTCACTCATAGTTATTTCTGTTGTCAGCTGATTTAGTGTAACCATGGAAAAGATGACATGGCCATTATAAAATCTATAATCTGCGTGAATGCCAGACTTTCCCGCACTAATTGGACTGATTCCCCGTCGCTGACCCTGCATGTCTTGGACTACCCCGCTTTACCCCGCAAATTCATATTGGTGTGTCTCGAGGAAAATATAAAACTCTAACTGCTGTTGCTGTTCGTCGTCACGCAGCTGGGTCCTCCTGGTGTCTTGCCAAATTCAGTGGGTTATTTTGGTAATGAAACCACACAGTAGTCGGCTGGCAGATTTCACATCTTCTTCTTGTTGTGAGGTACTTCAGCAACAGACACCCACAAGGAACACAACTGCAGGCACTCAAAGTCCACACGACCTGCTTCTCAGAGAGAAAAATAGATTTTTCACATTTCTCATTCTTACAGTAATGTCAACCCTGTCTCACAGCAAAACGTGTAACAACTACGTTGTGGAACGTGGTATTCTCGCGCTTTTGGGGAGGAAGCGTGACAATACAACGTTTCGTTTGCAACGAGGTCACGTGACTATTAAGTTTCCCTCAGCTAAAAAAAGAAAATGAAAAGACTGTCGGTCTATTATCTGTGAAAAACACAATATTTTAAGAAAGCATCAGCATTTGTATGCATTTCGATTGCATTTCTAGCGAGAAGTATGTGTTATATTTTCATAATCTTCTATCAGAGAATGTAGAAGACCTTCCGTTTGTTAGTTTCTAGTCACATAGTTGCAAGGCAATGTAAATGAACCGGCCGAAATAAAACGTAGTATTGTCACAATTTTGGGGAAAAAGCGTGAGAATACCACGTTCCACAACGTAGCTATTACACGTTTTGCTGTGAGACTGCGTTGAACCCTCACAGAGTTCGCGGGAGATTATGATTTGGCCTTGCTCATTACCGAACAAAGACCCATGACGGTAAATGCTTGGCTGCACTAAAAGTAACCTACAGATCGGACCTACCAGGATGCAACTGTTTCACTGACTTCCTCTATATTCTTTTAAAAGCTGCTGGATATAATCCCAATCCCCGTGAGAAGCAGTAATGTGCCTCAAGGCATCCGGTCTGCTAGAAAACTAAAATAATTCACTCTGTGAAATAGAGCAGCAGGCATGCCTACAATTAAAGTAATGTCTAGAACAAAACATGAAAAGTAAAGAAATTGTCGAATGAAGATAAGTCATTTCAATGAAATTAATTTTAAAGTTGAGCTTGCAATGCACATTAAGAACATACGACTACAGAGCCAATATCTGTTGAATCATTTTGTCCACCTTTAAAGAAAAAGGTTTTCAAGTTGCTGAAGCTCAAAGGTCGATCAATTGGAAAGGGACAGAGAAGAAGAGAGAACCTCTTGATCATACTTAATTTTCTATTTCTTTGATGTTCTTCTTAGCAAAGCCATCTGGGAATGTTGAAAGTCAGAGAATATATTCCTTTCAGTGGTAGCGTGCACGTAGCATGTTAATACAGGGGGAAAGAGAATGTGTGCATGGTATAAGATACGCATGTAGAGAAAATTAAGGAGTAAAGGTCTTCCTTCTTAAATACAAAGGTATTTTCCGGAAAAGATCATCGCAAGAATAAACTAGAGCTAAATGGAATAAATATAGAGTAGCAATATGTCTTTGTTAATCTAAAATTTAGTCGATCGGTCTGGAGTCTTGGGCAGTGGCCAATAATGAATAATGCGATACCTTAATCAGTCACTCATAAGCTTGATAACACATCGTGACTTAACACCCTTTAATTTAAAAATGAATCTTCAAGATTGCAACTATAAGGAATGTGTGGAGTATTTGAAGGGTGGATTAACAGATATGGTATTAAATCCAGAATATATACGGTGCAAAAATTAGTGGTGAAGGCTCAATTTTAACTTGGTGAAATACTGAGTGTCGAATGGCCTTAAAAGCAAATTTACAATTTCAAAGCTTTGATGAAATTACAAAAAATAATTTAAATCAAGCGAGAGAACTGAGTCCAGGAACAATATTGAATCAACAAAAACACCAAAAACCTTTTCTCAAGCATCCATCCATCCATCCATTGTCAAATACCACCACGCCACCGTGCCGCCCTTTTCTCAAGCATATGATGTGAAATATGAATGCATTACAGCTTGTATAAGGTTTCACGGATTGCTAATTTGTCAACACAAATAAGGATGTATACGTTTACCTATTTCGACGGCATGCCAGTGGACTAATAATGAAAATAATGAAGAATTCTGACACAAAGCACATTGGGAGTAAAACTGGTTATAAATGGGAGGCTGTTGAATATCTTGGCAACATCCCTTTAACTGGAGATGAATTGCTCTTTAATTAAGACATTAATTAGAGCAGTAGAGCTCATGGATCGCGGCAATCGCATGAGAGTTTGGAAGATAACGTTACATTGAGTCCGTGCAGCGCGGCTTTTATATTGTAATGTTATTGCCCGATTCACACTCCGCAGCAGAAGGTGGCAGTAATTCGCCGTTGAGCAAAGTGCTACCGAACAAAGTAGAGAAGAAGAAGAAGAAGAAGAAGAAGAAGCTGCTGCAGCGCTGGTAAGTTAAATTCAGGCAACGGTAAAATGTCAAAAATCAGCCTACATTTCTTAGAGAATTGCTATGCAGATGTTCGCGCTGTAGGTTTAACACCAACCATTGTAACGTTACGCAGGGCGGTGTGAAGGTAACATGGGAAGTTGTGTTCACCGGTCTCGTAAGGTAATCTAGGTCATTTAATTTGGCTAACCAACGTTAGCAAACAACAAGCTAAACAGCAATTTAATTGTCAGTTCCGTGCTCGGCGTTGACGTAACGTGACGTCAGAACGTGTGCGTTGAATGCGACGTTAACCGGGACGTTGTCCAGTGCTGATCTACACGTCAGGCATCACGACAGCCCGACGTCACACGTCTGCCAGTTCATGTTAATAACGTAAAGTAACGTAAAGTTGGGCTAAAGCTAAAGCTAATGCTACAGTGTAACGGTCGTTCAGTTACACAAGGAGGGTTTGGTCATAAAGTTGCTGATACATGTTTGTTCATGTATGTGTGAGGGACAGAATGGATGTTTAAAACCCCCTTTGATGGACACAATACACTAGATTGAGTAAATTGATTAGCCGCAAAAAGGACAACTTAAACAAAAGTGCTAAACTTTAATGTTCCTCTAAATTGTTCAGTTTCCAAATGATCTCATACCGTCTCCACCTGTGAGTTTGACTCATTATTTGTCAGGACCGTATGTCCGTCTGATGTCTCTCTCTCTTTGTGTCTTCAATTCTCTGTCAAACAACAGTAATGTTAAGCGATGGAGTTTCCAGAACATTTCAACCAGCTGGAGCTCCTGGATACACATGGACACCTGATCCCCAGAGGGGCGAGCAGCCTGTGGACCGAGGAGGAGGAGGAGGAGGTCGTGGAAGTGGAGGAGGAGGAGGAGGAGGAGGAGGAGGGATGCCGCGGCAAGGACTGGTATCTGGAAAAAGAAGAAACTCTTAAAGACGAACCAAAGCTGCTGATCCTGTGGGCGGCACAGAACAGCCGTGTAGGTGATGTTTCCTTTTGGCACCGCTCTCGGGACTCGTCCTCTAGCTAGGACTGATTTCAAAACAATACACTATCGATACCTTATTTTGACCAATATGGATCTTTTTCCGACAAACCTTTTTTCATTGAACAATAGAAGACAAAGTATAAGGAAATGTTTTTCTGCAAAGGAAACTCTTGATTTTAATTCAGAAACAATATTGATTTGGGATCTCTGGAGGTCAAGCTCGTAGGAATGCAATTAGGTTAATGACAAATTATTGGTTTATATTTAAACGTGTAAGACTGTCATAATCATCATCTTCCAAAATGCGTCTATACTGTATAAAGAAATCTGTTGCTGCACAGTGTTTATTAACATTGTGCAATATGGTATCTAATGTGCTTTGAGTACTTTTCTGTAGATGGACATCTGATAACCATTTTACAGCTATAATAATTAGTTAACATCATTTACGTCTCAACTGAATAAAAAAACATGCACATTTTTTACTTTTTAAATGATGCCGAAACATCTGATTAATGCAGCTTCTTAATTGTGGGGACGGCCGCATGTCCTTGTGTTAAAATGATTTAAAAATGCTGTGGTTATCGACCATACAAATAATAACCCTACTACTATTGCACTTCATCAAAGCAGTGATATAAACTCTTGAAAAGAGCACTCGCAAGAATGAACAGTACCCCCCCCCCCCCCACTGCAGCGCGCCCCCTCCTCACTCACCACAACAAGCTTATAATTGAAATAAAAAAAATCCTTAAAAAAAAAGGATGAGCTAAGACAGTGTGCATAAACCGCATGTGATTATTTTACTACTAATGAAATGTTTTTTGTGTCCCTGCTATTTGATAGCAGTCTATTCTGTTTAATGAAAAGCAATTGGAGCATATTAAATGTGTGCCATAATGATTAACGCTAAAGTAAACAGCATCACTCCACTAAATGGGCTTCAAACAGTGATGTATTATTTTCATGATTGTTTTTTTAATTGTTGCTGAAGAGACTTTGCAGTCTAAGCAATGAGTCAAGTAAATACCGTTATTGTTCAATCTATATTGGGCTAATTTACATAAAAGAACATGTTCAATGTATTGCTGGGTGATTCGACAGGGCACAATGTCTTTATCTTTATTTTTCCTGAGACGGAATGAAAAATGAGGATAAGAAACCACCAGGTGGTTGAAAACGCAATCATCCCAAGGTGCCGCTTTTATAGGGGTTTTGATTGGCCTGATTTATCCTCACACTTATAATATATGTATAATCCATGAACTTGTTGAAGTGGCTGATTTAATGATAGATCTCACTTTTAGTGTTCTTTCAGCTGCTGGTCAGATATCCTTTTTCACATGTACAAATGCGATCTTTTAAATCTGATCTAACAAAAAACAGCCAACGTTTTGATTTACTGTTATTTCTCTCAACCAAAAACCACAGAAATCTCAACATGACTATGTTATAAATTATTCTTACTCCTTGTATTATTAATATTATTTAAAAAATCCTAATGGGTTGTATTAGTGTTTTACTATATGACCAATATTCCCTTTTTGTAAACATGAAACAAGTTTTATGTAGCTCTAAATCTGAATACACTACCCTTATGTTAGTCCTCACTAAACATTAAAAACAGTTTTCTTCACAGAGCAGTAGTTTTTTTCTTTTTTCACACACTGCAAAGATTTGACAAAAAGCCAACACATTTTCTGAAACCTGAATAAAAGGTTTCAAGACCATAAAATATAATAAGCATTATTATTATTTCTGGTGCAGCAAATTTGCAAATAGATTATCTTAAGAAACACTTCAAATCTCTAGTTGGGTGGAGCATTTTGTCCTCTTCCTCAAGGAGGTCTTGTAATTGTAGTGAAGTCACTACATCCGTCAGGGGAGGCTCAAAGTGTCTCCTCATCCATGTGCCACCAAAATAACCCCAAAATAGCCTTCGATGTTTTCATTGTCATAGTTCTAAAAAATATTTCTGGCAAAGAGAATTGCATACCTTTTTACCTCACAGGTAGTGTTATGTTTGTCCATTTTTCACAGTAAACATATCATTTAATTTATTTATTCTTATTTATTATACATTGCAAAAAAAGCTTCAACCAACCCTACTTTGAACAAAGGTTCAAGCATCCCTTTGCTTCTGCTACAGTGGTCTTCATACAGCTGAAGGAAGAAAATACTAATATATGTGATTATACTGAATAAGTCTAAGCGGAATATATCATTCAGGTGGATTATTTAATGTGTAGAGAGGTAAAAGTCACCAACATTTAAGTCTGGAAAGGGGGCTAGAATAAGCCACCCCATTACCTGGCTTATTATTATTATTACTTATTCCGATCAGACGTGACACTCATGAGCACTACTTTTAGCTACTAGTTTTCTGACCCTCAGCATTTCCGCTTGTTTTTTTTTCCCAGCTCGCAACAGTCCACAGGTTGGTCACCGCTGATCCCTCGCTGGTGCACTGCTGCGATGAGGACGGCTACACTCCACTGCATCGCGCGGCGTACAGCGGCCATGTCGATGTGGTTTCTGCCTTGATCGCCGCCGGGTCCCGGGTCGACCCTCGCACCGCCGACGGCTGGACGCCGCTTCACAGCGCCTGCCGCTGGAGCCGAGTCGCCGTGGCGAGCTTCCTCCTGCAGCACGGAGCCGAACTGAACGCCCAGACCAACGGTGGACTCACGCCGCTGCATCTGGCCGCCTCCGACACCACCCCCCTCAGAACAGACTCTCCGCGCACGTTGGAGCTCCTCCTCGCCCAGCGGCGCCTGAAGCCAGGGCTCCGCAGCGGCAGCGGGGAGACGGCCAGCGAGGTGTCCTGGCGTACCGGCCCACACCACGCCCTGTTTGAGATGGTAGAGGACTGTGTCACAGTGGTGCCCTTTGATTCCTGAAAGGGCCGTGGACAGCGGTTACGTGAACTTCACTGATGGTATAGAGAGGATTTAAAGTTGAGCGTTATATCACTTGGCATTCGTTAGTTGAACTGTGTAAAAGTCTTTCGAGGCGCGTTGTGTTTTGGAGCTACTGTTAACTGTGGCCCCTGTAAGATCAAAATGTGTCTTTAATTAAATCCCCTGGCTGAAATATTGAGGAATTTCTTTCCGCTAAGCGCGTCTACCTGGAACTAATACTAATAAATAATAATAGTACAACGTTGTAGTATAAACTCCAAGAAAAAGCTATTTCAATAAAAGAAAAACGTAAAGGTCAGACTTTCCTCATCGAGGTACTAGAAAAACTGTAATAATGATGTCCATACCTTTTATTAAGTAGAAGTAACACTACAAAAGTATTAATAGAAATCAAAATCTATATGGTCATTGATTGTGGAAGTGAGATACATTTATATGAACTGTTGGATCTGTGGTCCAAGTTTGTCTTCATCTGTGAAGTAAGTAGTAGCTAAAACGGTCATAGACTTTGAAGACATTTCACCTTGAGATGTAGAAATCAGAATGGAACACTTGAGAACACTTGAGTAGAATAAAATTACATGAAAAGGCTACATTAGTTCAGTCCAGTGAATTTGAGGCAAATAGTGAGAATTCTCTCATATTATCTTCAACGTGATAACAGTAGCTGTAGTAAGTGTATGCATCAGATAAAGACTCCAAGATTCATTTCTCTGATGATTGTTGTTTCAGTTTTGACCCCTTATTGACATTACAGCTTGGAGAAGATGTGCTGAATGTCCCCAGCGTTTTGAAAAGGATTTTTTTGTAGTTCCGGATATTGACCTTTGTCCAAAATGCAGATAAATTGAGAGACAACCACAGTAAATTATTTTCTGATTGCCAATACAAGCTTCAAATACATTCAAATGAATGAGAGAGTGACCCTTTCCTTCCCCTTCATCTCATCCGGATGGATGTTTTTACATTTCCATGGATAGCGCTAACCACCTTTGCCTGGGTACACACATTTGTATCCACCCACTCCACAGAATGGAGTTGATCTTACGGTTTGTGGTCAGTCAAGGGGCCGCCTGATCATGTCTCTTTGTACACGTTTGGACTGTGAATTGAACAAAATACTGCTTGTGCTGCTCAACAGGTCACAGGATGTTTACCTGCATTTTAATATTCCACTTGCGACCGTAGGACACAATACGTTGCCACATTCTTTGTTTTGCAGTGTGCACAACCATGAAGAGTCCCCATCATTAGCTGTACCTCCCTCTTTCTGTAGCGCGGCGCTGTACAAAAGCTGCTGCTGGAAATGAAGTGCTGGAAACCTGCCTGCGGCTATTGTTTGTCTCTCTTTGTAAGGACCGATCTAAATTAGCAAGTGAGGACACTTTGTCTTTGGGGATTATGCTATGTTTGGTTCCCATTTTCATTTTACTGTGAAGATGTTCACCACCCAGTACTTAGGGGCCAATGAGGGTCCACACAAGTAAAAAATCATTATAATAACCTTTTATTAGACTTCCAGTACTTTCCTTTATTTTTGGTGAATTGATGGTAATACTATAAGCCGCCCACATTACATGAACATACATAGAGTTGTTATGGCGACCGAGTAAGCAAACATCTACTGTATGTCTATTAGCTGGAAACATTTGCCTTCTGCTGACGAAAACAACCATAGAACCTGTAGTTTCTTTGGGTTTGTCAGTATTCGTTATTCTTTTCGCTTTAGTCCCTATTTTAAGTGACACAATAATACAAAATAATATAATCAGCTTTTGCAAGGTCACAAAGTGGAAGCACTTGTTGACATCTGAGCAACAAAGCAGCCAAAGCAGAAGTGACAGAAGTTCACCAAACATCAGATTTCAACAAGAGAGACTTCTGTTAGTTTGGTTAGCATTGTGTCATTGAATCATACAAACCCTTCAGTTTGTCCCTTTGAGTGTTCATCGCTGTAACCATGGCGGCGAAGGTCCTCTATCCTTAATCCAAAGAGAAATGCTTCTCTTTCCTTTGTAGTTATTTTTTTTCAGATCAGATCATTTTTCTCTACACTTAACCAGGATGTTCAGCTTCTAAATATAACCACATCTCTGCCTTAGCGTTGAACCATTCAGGCGCGGACATATTGCCGGGAAGAGCATGCGATCAGAAAACTCAGTAACTCAATAAAAGCACCATGAAAGGTATTTCCAACCTTCTCATCTGTCACTTCGAAGGCCCAATCACCCTCAAAGTAAAGATAACCAACACATCTGCAATGTGTATTTGATGAGGCAATTATGAGGTATTTTTGTGGAGTCATTTACTTTGGAGGGGAAACGGATGATAATTGGCTTAACATTTAATCAGTAATGCACCAGGTGAATCTGAGCCCAAACACTCACGCATTGCAAATGAATGGCAACATTTGATCACACATATGGTGTCCACTTCTTTCATGGACATCATACCAACCTGCTCAGATATTTACATTAAAACACAGCAAAGCAGTTCATTTATTTTAATTTTTTAATTTTACCAATATTTTTTGTTTTTTAATTAAAGCAAAAAGCCAGGTACAAAATGCCAACTTTAGCTCTGTGAGGGGGGATACAGTAAAGTTTCCCCTGAACTTATTTGGAATTTGGAAAGATGAGCAGACAACATTAAAAAAAAAAATGATAATGTATATTTGATGAGGATATTCTATTAGTTAAACTGTTGTAGAGGGAAAGACCAAGCATGAGTGCTTATTATTTCATAGCTTCCAGGCATTTTCTCTAATCAGCAATTGAAGTGGGAACACATTGATTGATTTTACCAGGGATGTGTTCTGAGGTTTCTTCCCGCTGGATCGCCCCGTAGTTTCACAGAAACATATTTAACCAAGTAATTACATTTGTACTGCTGTTTGAATAATTGTCTGGTAGTTGATTAAAAAACGAGGGGAAACCAAGTCTGTGTTGTGAATTCCAATTGCGCAGTAAGGTGAGGACAACGAGGGGCCTCATGGGGCTGCAGAGTGAATTACTTGGATAAAGCTGCTCACGTGCTTGTATAAAGGGACTTTGTTTTCAAGCCCTTTGTCTTGGCCAAATCCTTCTGAGGTAGAGAGTCAATAGACCAGTCGAATCATCCCACGGCTTTCTCCCCAAATTTGAACTGCACCTCACAGTCTTTGTTTTCTCTACTGGACGCCGTCTCCAGATTCTCAGAGCTCCACAGCAAAGCCATCACATGACCACAGACAGGACATGACCCTCCATCTGGTCATCAATGCAGATCCCTTTCATGGAAACAGCACAATATTGAAGAAACTTTGTCCTGCTGTATTAATAAAACAACTATCTCTCTAGACTGGAGTTGTAATACAAAGTGTACAGTATTGCAATGAACACAGGCTGTAATTGACCGGCAGCATATATAATAGTATGTGTGCAATAAAGAAATACAAGTAAACCCGTTGCAATGTTAAACAGATAAGCATCAAATTATAATTCAATATATATGAACCCAAACTGAGCAATTTCAAAACCGCTACTAAAAGAAAAGCCTGTGCACAAGTCTGGTATCACCTGTGTTATTAATGTTTACCTTTTTTTAAATATAAGATTGAAATATCAAACAATGTCGAATACAAATCAATAAGTAATAAGTAAACATGAATAAGTAATTCATTCATTTCTAAAGTCTCCAATTTAATTTCATGAAATCCGGTCTACCCTTTCCAAATAGTGATTTATTTTGTCTGGGAGAATAAATTAAATGTGTAAGAAGACATGTTAATATCTTTGCACTTCAGACCCTGTTACACAGTGGGCTTACTCCTCCAGAGTGTGAGTCACAGAGCCGTGACTCAGTCACCTCATATGGTGAAAAAAAAAGGTTCAGTTACTTATGGACTCGTCAGAAAAAACAAAGATATATATCATTTTTCCAGTTGCATATGATGACGCATATAATTACCAGCTAATTTTTAGTGAGAAGGATTAACACTATGTAATTTTCTCGATTACGTATGCTGCTGTATATAATCATGAGACCTTATGTTTGTTCTGTTCCAACAGTTTTTTCCCAAGAAAGGGTCAGAAGGAAACAGAATGAACAGAAACAGGGGACCAAAGACACTCAGCAAGGTTTCTCCTCTTTGAGCAGCGCTGCTGTGAGACTGGCCGATCAATGAAAGCATTTCTATTCTGCTGGCTAATCTAATCTAGTGGTACACAAGGCATGTTTTATAGTGTTGATTCTGTGATCACACTGTTCACAGTTACTGTTTTGTTTTCCAGTATAATCATGTCAACCAGCTCCAAACCCTCTTCGTCGATAATATCATTCAAACCATCGTCATGCTACTAGTTTATCTTATGTGTAAAACAAATGTCAACAGCAAAATAAAAAGGTAAAAAACAAAAGTTAAATGGCTGTCAAACACTTTTGATGATGAACTACAGTTTCTTAACATAATTATTTGGTTTGCTCTACCTAAACGTCTGAAGAAGAATGTTATCCTTCCCAACCCTGCAAGTGATCTTTGTTTCCTTTGCCTTCATATTTATTTTACAAAAAGTAACATATGCTTTGTCACGCACCTAATCTATCAATCTGTTTGTTTCACCCACTTACTTTGCTCCAGGGCAAGGGTCCTTTTCCCAGCATGCAACAGGTGAGATGTAGCAAGTTACCCTGTGACTTAAGGTCCACCACAAGGCCAAAACAGATCAGTACCTGCTAAAGAAACACATTAACATCTATTGGATAATTTAATTATTATGTGTTGGGAGTTGCTGACATGGAAGAAAATCAAAACATTTAAAGTAGAGCTGGAAGCACACGGCTTCAAAGAGGTGTGATTACATTTTGATCACGGTACCTTGTGGAGCAGCATGAGTTCCCTCACAACGTCAAGGCTACAGCTCGATCCAGCAACACTTTTGATCCTCGAATTCAGACTTGAAAACCGCCTGCCTGATACTCCCCCGAAATGTTTCTTTTCCAAATAAAAGGAAAATCAAGTTAACACTAACATGTTTTGAATGAAATACATTTCTGAAATTTGGTCGAAGATTAAATCTACTTTAATGAAATTGGCTTCCATTTATATACATTTTATATATAAAAAGCTAAACCCCTGAGATGGAAATATCTAAAAGTATGAGCTGGTTTTCCATACAATTTAATACAGATTAACACAATCTAAGACAAAAAATAAGTAAATTTGACGATCGTGGGACATTTTGTCTAGACATGGAATGGAGATGTGAAATGAATGTGCTATTACTTGATATATGCAGCTTCTTCAAGCAACACCATGAATTTGAGGTGTTTAATGCCTCTTTGGGGCGACCGAGTAGAGAGGATGCTGTTAACCACAAGGTTGATGATTCCAGTCACGGCTGCCCAAATTCCTGTCTTGAAGTGTCCCTGAGTGTTGAAGTGTCCCTGAGCAAGACATATATTATATATAATATTACATTTACTCAAAAACTTTATAGATTAAAGATTGAACATACCGAAACATGGAGTGAAACATTTATTTTACTCACCTCTCATCTTGTGAGGAAAAAGCCTGGAACACAATAAATTATATTTTTTACCATTGTCATGGTAACGTGACATGTTGTTGCAAAGTGCTGTCCTATCCCTATTTCCACCATTTCAAGCCACCTGCAGCTTCACTCACTCTCTATTTAACAAGTGACGTCAGTAAGTCCCTGGGGGTTATTTGTAATTCACTTATTCTGTGAATGAGTAAATGAGCTTTTCAATTCCTCACATTCACCCAATGGCGTCCGACATCTGAAGGGGTTTTGGGAATCAGTGTCTTGCTGAAGGACACTTTGACAAGCTGTAAAGAGAACTCAGGATTAAAACACTAATTACTATGTGAAATACAGCTCCTTGATACCCTGATCTGATGATAATGAAGTGTTAAATGTCAAGTTTTTCTTTTTTAATAAGCCTACAGGCAGACAGTTTTGTTTGCAACCTCACAGTACCGCCGTGATAGGGTTAATATTAATCTATTCCTTCCTGTCCATAAATTAAGGTGGTTTCAGAATGAAAGATGGAAACCAAGATGATGTCCCTTTACCACCATCTTCTGGACCAATGGAAACATAACTTTTATTTCGATTTTCTAAATCATTACACACTGGTTGAAAATTAATAAATAATATAAATAATGATAAAAGGGATGAAATTGATGATTTACTTGACCATTTTTCTAATAACTAAAATGATAAATAAATTTTGGATAAAGACAATGAAGGCAGGCAGTACAGATAAATGTATGAGGAGTCAAATAGATTTTCTTGTTAATATGTAACGGCACGCACAAATAAAAAAAAAATCTTTTTACTTTTAGTTCATATTGACGCTGTAGTGTTGGATTAAAAATACGTTCAACTGAGACATATAAAAAATATGCTGGTTTACAAACTGGAAAATGCGACTGCATGAAGTACTCATCCTTGCATTTTTGGCATACTAAATATTGTGACTACTAGACTGCTTCAACACAATGAGCAAACCTGAAGTATCCTATGGCCTTTTTCATGTCAAAAAGAGATGTGTCTCTAGTTGCAATAAAAACATTGCTGTAAACAATATAAGATTACAGCCGCCTTTGACTTTATAAGTACCCTAATTATCACTTAACATATTCAATTATAGAAGAGGCCGCCTCCAGCCAATATTTAAATTATCTGTGAAATTGTAGATCCATATCAACATGGCCTTCCTTCTCCAAAGCCACCTGTCGAAACCTCATTATACCCCACTTCAAAATACCCACACTGTGCTTTAAAGTAATGTTCTGGAAATTTGGATTTGGAATTTGAAAAAGATGCTGAAATCGTTTTTTGTTCCTAATTAAAACATGTTAACTAAATGTAACTTTTTTCTTTTTTCAGAAGCTGATGCTTTGTTGAGTTGTCTGCTTTGAGCAAAACGAGACTGAAATATCCATCAGTGTAAAGGCCGATGTGATATATTGCAAAATAATCCAGTTTCTACCTCATAAATGTGCATTGATCCCTCCATATATTCTAGCTGTTTTAGGACCAAATGTAATCTAGCTTTCCCCAGTGTGCTTGGAAATTTCTTTTATACTCTTTCCTTTATATTCATGACTCAGTATGCATTATTTAGAAAACGATCAAGAGATCCGTTACTATTTTCTTGAGAAATGATAAATCACCTCCAGAGCCAGGGATTAATCATCAGGATTTTATTTTACTTTTTTTAAATTTTCAAATATAAAATAAATCCACACAATATTTTCCATCTGAAGAGGCTATCTAATCCTTTTTTATGTTAGATCAGAAAAAAAAGAGAAACATATGCCACGATTTACCAGTGCAATACAATCATTATTATTTAAAATAAATAATTCACAAATCACTCAAAAATTGCAAAAGACCATACAGAAAATCTGCAATCAGAACTCTACACATCCATGTTATCCACTTGGATTATGGACAAACCCAACACAAATTTTAATTAAAGACAAACTTCTTGATTTTCGTTTGAAGGGGGAGATTAAGTAAAATGTTCATTAGCTCAATGAGACGCATGCATCTCGGGCGGGATAAAGAGAGGTGACCACAAGCTCCGCCCCTAGGGGGCGCGCCACTGCCGTTGGCTGCTCTCCCTTGTCCTACGTCACGCGCTCGGCTGCTCTCGGTTCTTCTTCGTGTCTCATCGGCATTCCTGTGCGATCCTCCGGCAGCAGCGGCACGCGCATCTTAGGAGAGAGGACAGGACGCCATGAGCTCGCATCGGGTGGGATGAAGGTGATGTTCTGGTAGGAACCCCCCCCCCCCCCCCCCGACCCCCCTCACCGCTCACACCCCCTTACCCCCGGCTGATGTGGCGTCGCTGGAGGAGCCCGAACACCACCATGGAGCTGCTGTTCGTGGTGACACTCTTATGGAGCGAGGCGCTTTGCGGATCTCCGAGCGTCCAGATCGGTAGGACTGTCTCCCTGTGTGTCGTCGCCCCCACGGCGCTCATCTTCACATCGCACGTCCATCATCGTCCGTCTGAACTGTTCTCACCGATGGCTTTTCTCATTCCCCCCCAAACCATTATCGCCCCCCCCCACTCCCATCCTCCTGACATCCCCGTGTCTTTCCTCCTTCGGAAATGGGCCTCATCGTATTTCTGTCCTCCTTGTGCCGCTCTGAGTAACGAGAGGCCTCCTGGCTGCTGCAGTGTTCTAATTATTCAACGATTTCATCTTTTATATTTGTGTATGTAACCGTATGCGCGTGCATCTGGGTACCAGTGCAGCGTGCGCGCGCTTGCATATGTGCGGGGTGTTGCTTGTCTTCAAGGTGTTGCTTGCACAGCACAAGGGCTTAAGCCAGGTGAACGCTCAATAATTCAAATCCAGCACTCCAGACGAATTTTCCCTGAGCTCCATTGTGTGCTGGACAGCATACAAGCCCTGAAACATTGGGATGGACTTTCAGACAAATGTATTTATTTTAAAATATCTTCATATTACCATTGTTCAACACACATTACCTTATTTTTATATTGCTGGAATTATATTTGACAATTTATTCAGCCATTAAAATGATTTCAAAATTGGTTACTTACTGTGTTGCTTTTTCAATCATTCCACATTAAAGGGGTTGTCAAATTAGGTTAAATTGTGTATCTTCTGTCAACTACTGTATTTCTCATGAAACTCTTCGAACTTGAATGAATGAAAATGAATTCAACGTATTATCAAGTATTGTTTACCCAAAGCCGTATTCTTGTGTGCCATTGATCCCATTTGTCCAAAGTCTGTCAACACTTTGTCTACTTTGAATATCGCAAGGATCTGAAACGTATCTTTTTACCGGATGCACCTGAAGTGCATATATATACGGGTTCCAGACTTATATAGAACTATTGATTCCAATCTAATGAATGAAAGAAAACAACAACCTGACAACGGATTTTATCACCGCCGTGATGAATTAAACAGAGATGTGATTCTACTGCCATCTGCTGCACTTTGTATTCCAGACGTGGGAGTCGGTCGCATGTAACGCATGTAGGTCGTAGGAGTTTAAATCAGGCGTAAGAGAACACGGCGGTGACTCTGTGAAGCTGCTGAGTGTTGTTCTGAGCTAAACCCTAACGCCATATGCTAACTACACCCAAGACTTCTGTTTACTGCAGCTCAGTGTTTATGTATGCTAATATTTGCTCAATATCACTAAACAAAAAGTGCCCCTGTGGCAGATGGGAAGGTCATTTTTCATCAAGTCTTCAAGATGAAAAGAAAAATGATTACTAGTCTTTACAAATTGTCCTCAGGGGAATGTTAATGTCTATACCAACATTGCAGGCAAGCTGTCTAAGAATGGTAATTTTAAAACTAAAGGTCACATATTCTGCAAAATGCACATTTTCTTAGCTTTCAAACATGAATATGAAATATACATATAATAAAAGCTATGTGTGACCCCCCCCCACATTGTCATAAAAAACACCCATTACTTTCTCATGAACCTGCTCGCACCAGCAAAACACGCTACTTATTATTATTATTATTATATTATTATTAAAAGTCACACCGGGAACACTCCTTCTCAAACTATATTAGTGCGAGTTCAGTGCGGGATTCACCTCCAAACAGAAGCTTCGGCTCGATCTGTACCTGCTACAACCATCGTCAAATGTGGAAGCTGTAAGTTTTGCAATTTTTCTGCTCTTGTAGCTGTTGCGTTAACATTAGCATGCTTTTAATGTAGGTCCACAGGCTGGAGAAATGTGTGGTATTTTAGTTATTGTGGACATGAAGCCTCATGTAAAGGCAGATAAAGAGCAACAGTAGTGGTTATCTTTTTGTGTAACCGTATCGCAGCTCAACTGTTTTTGTTTACATGAAGGACCGTCTGCCCGGTGGTCTGTTTGTTGCTGCTCTACTGTGTGAATATATGTGTGTGTGTGTGTGTGTGGAGTTGTACTTGACGGACCGCCTTGAAGGGACACATGTGAAAAACAAATGGCCAAACTGTCTGCAGTTTCTAAAAAGAAAATGATTCAGTTGCTTGGCAACCTTATGCAGCTTTAATTAGCTCCCAGTCACTGACGTTCTCAGGCCTCTGGGACGAGGAAGCTTGGCTCCCTTGAGAGGCGTGCGATAAAATTACTCTTACTGGCTGAAGCAGCCACCTGGACTGTGGTTATGAGTTGAAAGGATTTGTCCGCAATTCGCAGATACAATGTAATTTAACAGGGAGCAGTTCCAGTGTAATACTCTTTTAGATACATACATACACTTTTTGCTTCGATACTGGATTCTATTTTACACAAAGTTACTCCCTATGTCGATTGATCAATTTCCTCCTCCATATTTGATGAAAGTGATATGTTATATCAGTTTTCATAATGTGTAGCTGTTGTCATGACTACACACGTAAGATGATGATGTTGTAGATAACTATAACTTTTCCCCTGTCACAACTACTGTTGCACACCTTGATGTTGTTACATGAAAGAATAATATAAACTGATTCTTCCATGTTTTACAGGCGATCCGAGTGACTTTATGCTCGGTCCTGAAGCCCCTGTCTGGTTAGGGGTCCCTGAACTCAGAATGAGTGAGAGCTCCCTCAGCATCCGACAGCACTTTTGTACCAGAAAACCTTTAATGATGGAGCACATGATCTGAACAGTCATGGCTTGCCTGCTTTTATCATTACGTGCACCTAATTCATATTTCAATGGCATTGCGTAAATAAAGGGCTTAATTTCTAAGGAGGGTTTCTGAACTCGTGTGTGGAAAAAAAACCCTCATTCTGCCAACCACGTGATTGAGGTCAAATTGTTTAAATTTGAATCTCCATTGTTTCTGAAGCCCAACATTTCAGTTTAAAACCTGCAGAGCAATGCTAGCTCTGTGTTACCTTTTTAACTGTGTTAGCACTCCCATGTATTTCATTGTCTTCCGTCTTGAGCGCCAGGTGTTGGTTTACTTTAACACTGCGATCTTTTAGGCCTTAGTTTTTCTTTTTACCTTTTTAACACGTTTTCGCAGCTGAATCAGTTTGACATCCTGGATATATCCTTCAAACACATTCTAGTCTGCTTCTGAAATGCATTTTTATTTGTGAGAAATTAGATATTTATTCATAAAGTGCAGTTTGTTAGCTCCATTGTCGCACTGACAGCTTGACTGAGTCCCATCCAGACTTTCTGCGTATGGATATTTTTACTGTGTGCTCTGCCACTCCCACTCGCCTCCTCTTTCCTTTTTCCTCATCTGTCCCCCACAGAGGTCTCCTGTCCTCTTCTATTTGTTTGAACCATGGCCCCTCACATTCTATTGAATTAAATAAACATTTCAATGTTTGTTTAATCAAATCGGTAAACTATAGGTAGGTTTCCACTAACCACGACAGATATTTACTATTTGACAGTCGGAATGAAGCACATTTCCAGAATCCAGAAACAACTCACTTAGCAATAGGTAGACCACATTGCCCTGGAGTTGCTAGGCAACAGCCAGAATCCTGTGAGAATACTAATGTTCCTGTACAAAGTTAAAAAATGAATTGCAATACAAATCTGCGTGGAGAAGGAGAACACAAAATGTGGATGAGCTGGGGGATGGAGGGCAACACAAGCTGTACACGCCACAGAGAGAGAGCTGCGGGAGAGAGGACTATCAGAGTTGAGGCCTCTGCGCTGCAACCTGAAGTGGATTATAAAATGACTCCTTGAATATGGACTGTGTGGGTGCTCCGTGGTTGTCTGCAGTACTTCCCTGCTTGTTTAAATAGCCTTAAATGTGCCGATGTGAGCGTGAGTGTATGTGGTGGGCGCGTGTGCTCGGCTGCATGTGAGGCTGAACCCACTCAGTCCCCTCTTTTTTCTTTTTTGATTTGGTCGTGATTTTAACCAGGTTGCCGGTCTTTGTTATGTGGTGATAAACTGTTGTTTTGACTCAAATGATTTCTAATTGAATGCCGGTGTAACAGTCTTTGTATAATTTGACACAGCAGATGGTCTGCTCTCACAGAACCATCTTAGATGCCGACCTTGAAATACTTGGCAGGTGATTGGACAAACCATTTGTCAATCAGAGCTCTTACCAAAGCCAGTTGGGAGAAAAGCAAAAATATATTTTCCATAACTGCATGACTGCAGCTGCTTGTAGGACACTGATTACTTCAAGCCAGATGGATTTTGTGATTTGATATGTGACTCTGTGATTCACTTGACTTGACTTGATGTGGTGAGAATCCAGCTGATTTGCAAGGGAATAATTTGAAGGCTTTACGTTTGAAAGGAGAAAACACCACTTTGACCAAAGGTCTTCCTACTTTTACTTCCTTTTCAATATCTACTTCTCACAGAACTTCATTCAAATCAGTTGTTTTTTGTGTTTTTGATGCCCCTGATCGGTCATTTTGCGCTTCTTGTCCAACTATATATATAGTTTCTAGAATGTTTGGTGCATGCAATTGAACATTCGTTTGACCATATGATGTATATTTGCTACAACTTTCCACTTTCCAAAATTCCACTTTCGATCCCACTATGAATATACAATATGTACGGATTTGGAAAAATGACTCTACCTTTTACATACTTTGGTTAAAATAGAGAATTGTTGCAATTCAACACAACACAATTTTAGTGTATACTTCATTGTACCAACTTAAGCACCCTCTGCCCAATTTACAAACATTGGGGTTTACAGCAAGCTACGAATGAATTAATGCATGCAATGTCCTGACAAAGTCAATGGCCGATTATTAATGGAGGCCTTGTTTCTGAGGACAGAAGCTCAGCGAGCATGCTAAGAGTTGTCAGTCACAGAAGCCAATATCTCTGCCTCACTCTAAGCAGACACTAGGCCTGTATGGCCCCAGCCTCCCTTCTCTGGGCCAAAGATTGAGTGTGTGGAAAAATGACCTCATTCTGCCAACTCCACCACAAGTGGTTCAGCTGAGCTGAGGTAGAATTGTTTCAATTGAAATTGCATTTTTTCTGTTTTTAATTCTTCTTTATTGTCATTGTGTAAACACATGGTGGTTGGTTCTTACTGGTCTGATAATATTCACTAGGCATATATTTTGGTGGATCCAAGAAAGAAAGAAATATACATTTTAAATTTTAAAGTCAACAAATAAAATTAAATAATATCCAATTACGAAATATATTCACAAAAACAAAGTAAGACAAATAAATACAGTGTCGCTCCCTGTATGTGTGTGCATGTGTGTGCGTGTGGTTTGTAACCCCTCCTCCTCGCCGGTGTCCGCTGATATAGGATACATCTAATGAATGGATGGATCGAGAAATTGTTATTATTCCCTCATTGTCTCTAATGCATTGATCGTTTAAGTAAAGATTGTTCTAAAATGCTTTTTCAACATACTAGTTTGTAGCCCAATATCTACTGCACATCTTCCTCGGCATTTTCTTTTATCCATAATGTTTGTTCCTTTCCTTTGTACCGCCTCTAATGGCAATAAAGTTCATTGTTCTGTTGCTTTAAGACTCCAGAGCTTTTTTCATGGTGGTTGTTGGAGAAAACAACAGGTCCTTTGTGTTAAAATTAAACAAAAGTCCTGCATGGGATATTCACTGCTTCTCAGGGGCAAAAAAAAAGGAATGGAAAAAGCGACTCAACTGTGATATTACTTCATTATAATGTGCAGAGTGTGCAGATTTACAGCAGTTTATTCTTTTAAATATAATAGATCCGGTGAAAATGTCTTCCTAACCATGGTTTTGCTTGTGTGTCTGCCTCAGGTGGGTTGTTCCCCAGGGGCGCAGACCAGGAGTACAGTGCATTCAGAGTCGGCATGGTTCAGTTTGGGATGACAGATTTCCGACTGACTCCACACATTGATAACTTGGAGGTGGCCAACAGCTTTGCTGTCACTAACTGCTGTAAGTATCTTTCTTTTAAAATGATCTTCATTCAGAAATGTAAGTTCAACAGAGTGCTGCGTTGTGTTTTGAAGCTGCTACCAATGTCATTATTAGATCTGGGGTTATTCTATGAAAAAAAATACATTTAAAAAATATATATTTCAGCTTGATGTTTACATTCAACCGCAAAAACTGCGACAAAGATCATAGATTAATGATATAAAGGTTAAGGGTAGCCCCGCTGCGGTGACTTCAGTGGAGAGCGCTGTAGAGACTCCAGGGGACCACTTGACGAAGCCTTGAGCACCAATGGCCGCTCCGTCCCCAGGGTGGAGGCCTGCATCATCACACTGGTCTCATTTTGAGGCGGAAAAAACTGTTTGCTGCACACACAAACAGGTCACAAAAGGGAGTCGGATGAGTATTATGCATATACTGCAGTTTGATGAAAATGATGCCTATAGTTTATCTATCTCTATCTATGCACTGACTGTCTCTAAATTCATTTTGCTTTTAAAATTCAGCTGTGGGACAAAGGGTAGCATTGAGCACGAGGACTCCAAGCGCGCAGTGTAGTCCGCCTTCATCAGTCTGTGATGTAATGACGGCCTGAGGCTCGAAGCTCTGCTATTTGAGCACATAGTGTTGAGATAGCAGTGTATGCATGTAGCCCTCCTTTTCCGCTGGCTACAGTCTGCCACAAAAACAGGATGTTTGGTGGGGGAGGGGGAGCGTTTCGTTTTGGTCAGGAATACCTACGTGCTTCAGGTTCAAATTTTTGATACACTGTTAAAGGAAATAACCACCACATCAACAGCATAAAAAGCTTTGGTTTAGGATGTAAGGAAGCTAAACGGAAAGCTCTATCTTAGTGTCAGTGCATGACCAGGAACACGGCTTCATGTTGACATTTTACTTGGTCGCTCTGAGGTTATTTTCTAGACTGAGATGGAGGCACGTTGGTGTGTGGCCGGTGAGTGGAGAGGTAGAATGGCGAATAGCGCTTTTTTTGTCTTCCCACTACTCAAAACACTACATCTCCCCTATTCACATTAACCAGCACATGTATGCTGTCCTAGCTACTGAAGGAGTAGTAGTCTAGTTTGTGAAAATATGGAGTCAAAGGTATGTCTCTTTCTGGCTTGATGGATTGATATCAATTGGCCAGATCTACTGAGTGAACTTCTGATCTTATGCGCACATCAAACATTGTTTTTTTAAATTATTTTATACAGTTTCTTCTTCAGTGTAAAGCGCCGTTGCAGACAAATCCAAGGATCAAAATTCACACAGTCCCATGACAATTTGCTAGTCAATTAAACCTTTTTCTTCTAATAACACCCTTAAGGTCATCTGTTGCTATCAACTGTTACTGGTGGTCATGGCTGCATGTGTCCTCCTCTTTGAGTTTGCCAAAATGTGGCCTGGAGCGCTTCAATCGCAATATAGAGGTGATGGCTGTGATCCCCAACAAGGTGTGCCAGAGACAATTCAGGTTCAATTTTGGTGTTTCCACTTAAGTTATAAGTACCGTATTTTCCGCACTTTACGGCGCAACGGATTATAAGGCGCACCTTCAATGAATGACCTATTTTAGAACATTTTTCATATATAGGGCACTCCGGATTATAAGGCGCATAAGATACTGCAGTCAAAGTTTGACGTCGGGGCGGGTGGAGGTGGAGACGGTGCTTTCAGGGTCCGATCGATGCTGCAAGGTGGGTCCGCTCCCACCGCCCACCTCGCCATCCACGCCTTAAATCTTCGGCTGCTCTCCAGCCACGCCGCCTGCCAAGGGCCCCTTTTAGAAGGAAGAAACTTATTTTCTCCGTTAGGATGGTTCAGCTACTGTAGAGAAAAAGGCACCGTCTCTCGCTCTTTAATCTCATAAAGTGCTCGGCGAGAACAACAGCTTTGTTTCTCCGACGCGCCCTGAAACAAGCTCCATGTCTCAGGTTCTTGAGCGCCGCTCAGCATCTCGCCGTCATAGACCGAGCTTTTTCATGTTTGGCAGAGCGCCTTGAGCGCCGTGTACAACCAGTATGGATCAACCGATTAACCAATTGATCCATATGTAAAGCGCTCTGGACGAGAAGGCGTTGTAGATAGAACGTCAACAATTAAATATAAGAAATTTTGACACAATTATGTTGTTTTATGTTTTACGCTCTAATGGCGTAACTTTACGTTCCAAAATCTGTGCAGCTCCACTTTACATAAACCGAGCAATGCATGATGTTATTTCTGGTCGTCTTTGAGCCATGTTCATATATTGAGATGTCATCTGGAAGCATGAACAAATTATCTGGGCAGACAACATAAATATATGACTTACCACGATATATAATGCACATGAATGCAATATTGTACCCAGGGAGATGACAGTGGACATTGTATTTCTAGAGGAAGAACCAGGTCATTGAAGTGGGACAACCAAATATAGCTGTAGACACCTTTTTAAATGGGATGTGCTATGACATTATCGCCCAGTCTAGCTCAGTTTGACAACATATGGTAATATTACAAATGAAAAAAGACCCCTCTTTTATCAAGAATTGTTAAGAATAATTTACGCCTTCATTGGTCAAAAATGCAATTAAACAATATGCCATACCTTTTTCCAAATGATTATATTTTAGTGTTGCAAATATCATACAATGGCTTTTAGCCATGCTAGCTCAAAGGGCGGCAATGCTGACTTTGATTATTTGATTGATTGCCATTTAATTCTGTGGAAACAATTAACATTCCACACACATCTAACTGCGTAAGACCTTTGTTGAAGCATTTATTGCTTTAATCACTTCACGTTGCTTGCGTTGCATCACATAAATGGTAAACGGACTGTACTTTCATTGTGCTTTTCTAGTCTTCAGACCACTCAAAGCTTTTTTCAACTGCATGTCATCAATCACCAACTCACACCCACTCATGCACTGATGCATGAGCATACAGAGAGCCGCCGCCCCATCAGTTACTAACATTCACACAGCGTAGTCACTGCTTCTCCAAGAACACACCGACTTACGGATTAGTGGAGCCGGGGTATGAAGCGCCAATCCTTTGATTGAAGGATGGCCGTGCTCCCCACTCGAGCTCAGTCACCCGTAACCGTCGCTAGTATTTCACTGGTAGGATTTTGCTTTGGAATGTGCTTGTTAATAGAATGAAAAAAAACTTGGGGGGGAAAAGTGTCCGTCATGTGCTAAAGACGACGTTTAGTGTGTTGTCCCGCACTTCGTAAAAGGAAGCTCGCCCGCTGCAAATACCAACCTCTAGAAAAGCCGTCATCATCCACTCCGATTTGACAATCAGGCTCTCCAGATGATGAGCACGTCTCAGGGTACAATTATGTTGTTGAATTCCCCCAGATTCCCTTCTCGGGCCTCTTCTGTTCAACCTCTCTCCCCTGCTCAGATTATGGAAAAAACACTTTGAAGCTGTAGCATTAAAGAGTTCTGCACTCTGCTAAATGTTATCTTTGGATAACTGTGCATCCCCATACATGTTTTACTAAAATGTTTCCCTCGCTGTCTCTCTTAGTTTGTTCCCAGTTCTCTCGAGGCGTCTACGCCATCTTTGGCTTCTACGACAAGAAGTCAGTAAACACCATCACATCCTTCTGTGAGACATTACATGTCTCCTTCATCACGCCTTCTTTCCCAGCTGAAGGAATGAATCAGTTTGTTCTCCAGATGAGGCCAGACATCAAGGGGCCGCTGGTTTCACTAGTTGAGTACTACAAATGGGAAAAGTTTGCCTATCTTTACGACAGTGATCGAGGTAATTCTCTATTTTTTATCATAGATTATGCAGTTATATTGCTTTTGCTTAAAGCTGTACAATTATATTAGTGTCCTATACAGAATAACTTCTCACACAATTTTAATTTAAGGACCTCTTCATGTTGTTTTTGAAAGAACAAAGATGGGAGAACTAGATTGTATTTCTGATTTAGCTGCGAAACAATGTTTTAATTCAACTAATCATTTTTGTTCAGGTCTTTCTACTCTGCAGGTAATACTGGACACCGCAGCAGAGAAAAAATGGGTTGTCACTGCAATCAATGTAGGAAACCTCAAAGATGAGAGGAAGGATGAAGCCTACCGCTCGCTGTTTCAGGTACTGATATTCTGCTCCTGCACGACACCTCACACAGTTTGTACACACGCCAAACATATTATAAATTTTGTTGGTATATTCCCCTAACTAATTTGAAGCTAAATTGCGATGCCATGTTCAACACCAAACAATGATGTCATAGGTCTGGTGACAATACACCCTGATTGGCTCTTTGGAGGTTTGGAACTTCTCAGAACTCCTAGAAGAATTTTTGTCGGAATTTTGGAGGAATGTTGCTCTTATCTTTACGAACACATATGATTTTCCATGTTTTCCCCTGAGCGAGAGTCAGCCATGTTGGATTTGTACATTTGTGCCCAGAGGTGCAAGGGAGCCATCTGTCTCTGCTCGCATGTTCAAATGAAGCTTTACTCAATCAATTGTTAAATACCTTCCAAATAAAACACAAATGGTCATTACATAGATAAGTGAAGACATTTACTATATACAATTTGACTTATTATATATGATTACGTTACAGATTGAACAGTGCCCATTTTCCATACTCACTACACTAATAGGGTCGTGGTTGTCGTCGCTTTGGATAAAAGCGTCTGCTAAATGACCTGTAATGTAACAGCCAGACATCACTTCCTTGATTATTAATTCACTACGGATCTGTGAAATAAATGTGCAGTAAGGTGAAGGATTTTTTCAGTCATTGGTTTCTAGGAAGGTCTACGTTGATTGATGCGGTTATCAAATTGAAGTGACAAGAATAGCACAAATAACTTGAGCACAGCTTCCGAAGTCTGTCATTGACCCGGCCCGCGGTAGCAGGCGATATGCGGCGCCCAGCTGGATGCGTCACTCTCTGTTGCACCTCCCTGCAGACTGCCAGCCAAAACCTCACTTCACCTCGGGAAAATACCTCTGAGTGTTTTCAGAGCTGTTTCAAGCGGGCAGCCTGCACAACGTGAAATGAAATACTTCTGTTTTCTAGGACCTGGAGATCCGTAAAGAGAGACGCATAATCCTGGACTGTGAACAAGACAAAGTCAGAGACATCATGGAGCAGGTGCATTCCAGTCTTTTTACTATGTGTTATAAGTAATAGTATCAGTTCATTATATCTCTGTCAAATACGATATCATTTGCAGTTTATTTCCAATGTTTATGGTTCATGTTTTACCAAATTATTGCCTGATGCAGAGCTTTTTGTGATACTCAACGGCTTCCTTTGTTCCCAATTATTACTTTAATTGCTGTCTTTAAATGGCACGACAACTTATTATTTTTTAGAAACTTTACATAATATTAGCAAAATCATAGTTTCACAGTCCATGAAAACCGGTAGATATGTGATTTACAATATTTCCGACTGAAATTGATGGATCAAGTGTTTAATAATGGTTTGGAAATATAATTTAACTTCTTCAATATACTATTATACAATGATTATCCCATGTAATTATAAGCTGCCAACTGGACTGTTTCTCTCATCTTATGAAAAGTAGACCTCTTTGAAAAAAACATTTTAAATCAGTGTGCATCACATGATGGATATATATATATATATATATATATATATATATATATATATGTGTTATTTTCTCATGACAATATTAACACAAGTTGTACTCTTTTCCTATCAGGTGATCACTATAGGCCGACATGTGAAGGGATACCACTATATCATCGCTAACTTGGTAAGTATCCGTCTGCCTCTTATTCATATTCATTCAGCCAGTTAGTTTTGACTAGTTTTGGCAGATTCACATTAGCTGCAATAGGAGGGCAGGTAGTCAGGCATGAAACAGTTTTACAGACTCACAGGAAGGAATTTCTGAAACGAAGAGGCTAAACAAAGCACTGGCAATGGGCCGATTGTTGTTGGTCACGGTCAAACAGTCAATGTTGTAAAAAAGAAAGAAAAAAATCATTAAATGTCTGGTCAATGGTGTGAATGAGCCAAGCTATATAAAGCCAAATCAAACCAATCTAAAAAGTCGTGCCATGGCACATGTTGTCTCTGCTGTGACTCGACAGGCATGAACTGGTCACGCTGTAGTAGCTCAAATAGCCATAGCCAGTTTCAGTAGACTCCTAATTCTTTACTCACAAGCTTTGTTTGTTGTTCTATAGCTGATCTGCATCGAGTGGGAGGTCACAAACCTGTCACGACAAAGTCATCAATTTAATTAACATTTCTGTCGTTCTTGTTCTAGGGTTTCGTAGATGGCGACCTCTCTAAAATCCAGTATGGAGGTGCAAACGTGTCTGGGTTCCAGATAGTAGATTTTGATGATCCCGCGGTGGCAAAGTTTGACCAGCGTTGGGAGGCCCTCGAAGAGAAGGAGTATCCTGGAGCTGATATACGGATCAGAGTAAGAGTTGGACGTTTATCATCATAGGCTGGTTTGAATTATTATTACTTTAAGAAAGAAAGGTACTGGGTAAGGAGGATTATCTAGACATAGTCCGCCCCTCCCCCTCTTTTCGGGCACCACTTCTAACAACAAGCCACGGGTGATGGCTTTTAGAACTGTTACTAAAATGTCTTTATAATCGTCACAGCCTTGCCGCTCGCAGCCTGTTGTAGAGGTAATAATGATTTTTGCCAATGTTTCTCTGTCTTTCAGTATACCTCGGCTCTCACTTATGATGCTGTCCACGTGATGACGGAGGCGTTCCGCTTCCTTCACAAGCAAAGTATAGACATGAGTCGCCGTGGCAACAGTGGAGACTGTCTAGCCAATCCAGCGGTTCCCTGGGCACAGGGGGTGGAGATTGAACGTGCCCTCAAACAGGTAACCATGGGTTAGACCCTCGTCACTAAGAAAAGAGAGATGTGTCTACAACGAACCCTGATGTAATGTTTAATGGAATGAGTATGAACTAGAATTGCACCCACTTTTAGGCTGCAAGCATATAGCATTATAAAAAGCTATCAAGTGTTTTGTTGTCAAGTGATCTGGAGTTTTTTTTTAAATCAATTTAATTTGTTTGTCCAAACTTTTGACTGGTACTGCACATTAAATATGGCTGTTATTGTTCTTTATTTTTAATGTATTACGATGCAGGTATTAATTTCTATATTAAAACGTATCTCAGACACAATTAAATTGATTAAATCTAGAGTTTTTGTGTTTTTGCTGCGTGTAGGTGCGTGTGGATGGTTTGACAGGGAACATTCAGTTTGACCAGTACGGGAAGAGAATCAACTACTCAGTGACCGTCATGGAGCTGAAGAACAGTGGACCTGTTAAGGTAACTGAAGAATTAATTTGCCATCTTGACTGTAATTATAGAATAGAGCTGTAATGATAATGTCACCTTTGTGTTTCCTCGTGTGTTTCTTTAGATTGGCTATTGGAATGAGGTAGATAAGATGGTGGTGACAAAGTCGGACCTTTACCCCAACGACACCATGGGAATGGAAAACAAGACTGTCATTGTCTCAACTATACTGGTAATAATCACATGAATGACCCTATATGTGAATGTGTGGGACAACTGAAAAAAACAGTATCTGTACACAAGCTCAAATGTGTGTGTGTGTGTGTGTGTGTGTGTTTATTTATTTAGGAAGCCCCCTATGTAATGCTGAAGAAGAACTCTGAGCAGTTTCAAGACAATGAGCGCTATGAAGGTTTGTTTGTATATGATATTGTGTACATGTTTATGTTTTTATTTCTCAAATACATAATTTCTACAGTCACGTTTTTCCAGACCTTTTACTCAGCTCTACCTAAAAAACACACTGTCCTAAAACAGTTCTTGCATACAGTTACGTAATATGTTGGTAATATACTGTTTGTCTTCAATCCCCAAGACGTCTTAAATAGGTATCTTATTATCAAGTATTCATCACTGTTCTTTGTATTACAGACACTTATCTAACCTGTTGTGTCGCCCTGCTCACGTGTTTTTTTGTTTTTGTTTATTTTATATTTTAATATTGTAACCAATGCCAGGTTACTGCGTTGACCTGGCTGCTGAGATTGCGAAGCACTGTGGAATCCGCTACCAGTTGAGAATTGTGGGAGATGGCAAATACGGAGCAAGAGATGCAGAAACCAAGATCTGGAATGGTATGGTTGGAGAGCTGGTGTATGGGGTAAGATTCAAAAGACACAAAATGACACTATGTTTTATGAACATTCAGATTTCCTAATGTTGAAAGCATCACAGAGGGTTAGACTGTGAGCACCAAAACAGCCGCGCAGGACCAGCCACATTGTCAGTGAGTCCCTGTTAAAGTGTTGCTGAAGCGCTGGTTGACATAGTAACTTCGATTTGCTGTGCGTGAGGCCCGTCACGTAGCGGAAGCGTTGGCCGCCAGTTTGTAGCTTCATGCCAACTGTTTCCATTAAAAATGACTCGTTAAACACTCTCCCTCTCTGTCTCTGTCGTCCCAACAGAAAGCAGATATAGCCGTTGCCCCTCTGACGATCACGCTCGTTCGTGAAGAGGTGATCGATTTCTCCAAACCCTTCATGTCTTTGGGAATCTCCATCATGATCAAGAAGCCGCAGAAATCTAAACCAGGAGTCTTCTCCTTTCTGGACCCACTGGCCTATGAGATCTGGATGTGCATTGTCTTTGCCTATATTGGAGTTAGTGTTGTACTCTTTCTGGTAAGTCAGTCTGTTGTGTGTAGATGTATTTGTTTGTACCCTGCTGTCAGCACGGCAGCCAGGGTCCTAATGTAGGTGTGTTGTGTGCAGTAATTCTGCCAGAAATGTGTAGTTGAACCTCAATAATAAGATTCTGGTCCCAGTAATATGACTTATGGCTTATACATACATACAGTGCATGTTTTTCAACAAATGGAGGAGAAAATTGATGAAATAGTGTAAAAATAAAAAGGTGCTGAACTGCAGATCTGCAGGCCTGTATTTTCATCTACCACCCAAATGTAGTTTTCCTAAATGGGTTTTATAAGGAACGCAGATGCAGAATCCATTTCAACAGAAGCCCCGTTATGTCAAATGCTTTGTTATTTTTTGTTTTACTGCTCTGACTCTTTGTTACTGCAACTCTGCAATTAACATGGATGATTTGTTACAGAAAAAAACAAATCTTTAATTTATTATTCTTTGACTTCTAGGTATCCAGATTCAGCCCCTATGAGTGGACGCTAGAGGAACCAGAGGATGGCGCGATGCCGCTGACCACTGAATCCACCAATGAGTTTGGGATCTTTAACTCCCTTTGGTTCTCTTTGGGTGCTTTCATGCGGCAGGGTTGCGATATTTCACCAAGGTTAGTATGGCAATTGAAGTCCATTCTGAATATATATGTATATATATATACCCAAGATTGTCTTAAGTCATGAGTCTCAAAGAACATAACTTAACAATAAAACGGCATACTTTGGTCTGTTTGTGTGTGCAGATCCCTGTCAGGTCGTATAGTGGGGGGTGTGTGGTGGTTTTTCACCCTGATCATCATCTCCTCCTACACTGCCAACTTGGCGGCCTTCCTGACGGTGGAGAGGATGGTGTCTCCCATCGAGAGCGCGGAAGACCTGGCGAAACAGTCAGAGATTTGTTATGGAACGCTGGACTCTGGATCCACCAAAGAGTTCTTCAGGGTAACTACTTCTTTAGGCAGATCCAAAATACAAATGTGATGTTTAAAAACCCCACAGATGATAACATAATGGCTACGCAGAAGTGTGTGAGGGTGTTTGCGACACACGCTACTCCACCGATCACACAAGGCAGGAAACAGAGAGACTTAGACATTTCAAATATTCTTTAAGTTGTCTTTGTCATTTTTTATAAGGACATCTATTCCCCAAGTCATGTTAAACATTTGCTTAAAATAATGTTCTACAGTATATCTAGTACCCTGTGATCAATTTTATTAACATATACTTAAAAGTGACCAAGTTTCACAACTGGAGTTGTTGTATCTCATCCGTGTCTCTCTCTCTCTCTTTTTCAGCGGTCCAAAATTGCCTTGTTTGACAAAATGTGGCAGTACATGAAATCAGCAGAGCCCTCTGTCTTCGTTAAGAAAACGTCAGAGGGCGTCCTGCGCGTCAGAAAATCCAAAGGGAAGTACGCCTACCTGCTGGAATCCACCATGAACGAGTACATCGAGCAGCGGAAACCTTGCGACACCATGAAAGTGGGAGGAAACCTCGACTCCAAAGGCTACGGCATCGCCACGCCAAAAGGATCCCCATTAAGGTGGGTGGATCAGTATAACAATGCTAGCCAACCTGCACTGCCATGTACCATTCACACTACTAACATGCTGCCTAGGAAACGTCCCTCTCCCCACTCACACAGCTCATTTACCCACTCAAAAGCTTTTTTAAGAGTCCACTTACAGTTGAGAGTGGATTCAGACTTTCCCTCGATCAGTGCTCTGATGCCCCAATGGTAATGATCAGAATACACTTGCTGACCAACCTGCTGTAGGACTCAGGTGGTTCTAGCCAGTGTGTGAGCTGTGGCTGTGTTTATGTGCAGCTCCGCTCAGGAAAAACAACCCACCGTGGGGAGCAATGTAGTCGGGTCCCAAGCCTTAGTGCCAATTGGGTGTTGCAGTATGCGAGTGTGATGAATGGGGCATGGCGGCTTACTCGTTGTTATAATAATCCACCTACCCTGATGACATCATCGCAGTGGTTTGTATATCTACCATGGTTACCACCTCTGACCAACGGCTAGTGGTGGTTGCCGTGACAACTCGGGGAGGGCTGTTTCAGGTCTTAATGAAATACTTCATCCCAAAATTCAAAAAGGAGGTGTTTAATTGAGTGTAAGTGAAAATGGTATTATGAAGTCTCTTTTTGCAAAAAAAGCATATCATGATACAATGACCAAATTTCAACTAGTAATTTCCAATACAAATTCATTTTCTTTATTGTAAGAAGAATTTGGCTGCAATTTTTTTAACAATTATGATGAGCTGACTCTTTAAGACCTGGATCAAGGGATTGTATTTTCTGAGTTTCTGACCTAAACATTTTTCTGTGTTTGTATGTCCGTCTGTGTCTGTGTATGTCTGTGTTTATTCTCCATAAGAAATGTTCTATGTCTCCCTCCAAAATAACTATTCAGACATATTTTATATCTAAATGTTCTAATGCAATTTATTGCATTTCTTGTTGTATTTTAGTCTGAACACCAGACATTCTATCTTTGGTTACTGCTTCATCCCAGGATTCAAAGGAACAGGTTTTTAAGGAGTTTTCTAGCAGGAAAAAGGGTGATTTTATGCAAAATGGAAAGTTATTAACCAACACCCATATGTAACTGTAGCCTCTTTCAAAGGAAATTTCTAAGAATATTAGTTAGGTACACATTTAAGGAATAATGAAGACAGTCTTATTGCTTATAATTTTAGACAACATATTTCTAAAATGTATCATTAAGAATTCCATTTAACTCTATTACTTTATTGTCATATTTATCACAGAGCCTTAAGAGGGACATGTTTGATTAGGCTTGAAAGCATCAATGCCGGCCCTTAAGGGTCCTTTTCTTTGCTGCCCAATAATAATAAAGCAAAGCCAAGCTCTGACTTTAGCTCATTGCCTGAGCTATTCCTGTGATTGGGACAGGTTGACTGCTAAGATGATAAACTTGGCCAAAGCAGGGACAGCATACAGTCTGATACTATTCAAATCTGGTACCTCTGTTACTTCAGATATAACCGCCGCGTTGCCGGTTCACCAAAGGAGTACAGGAATAGCTTCAACACACGTAGCTGCAGTCAACAAGAAAAACACTGGCCCGAACGTTTTTATTAATTGTGTAATCATGGTAGTATGGTGGATGTTTTCATCAAATTTGAAGACATAGCTTTTGGTGCAAACCCTATTTAGTGGCATCTTTTTCTTGTTCTTCAGAATACTATAATGAGATTTACACTGAACTATGGATAATAAATGATTTCCTCATCAGATGAAGAGTGAAGGAATTAAACACTGTTACAAACAACGGTTGGGACCCAAAATGCATTGGACAAATTCACATGCATATCGTTAAATGTCATCAAAATGAATATATTCTATGCAGTCAATAGCAGCTTGCAATTCACAGAGAGAGAATCTTACCTCTTTGTTTTACTAAAATTTAGATAACCTGCACTGTTGACTTAAATGTGTTTGTGAACTGAAAGCCACAATAACCACTATAATGTCACCTTTCAATGTCAATACAACATTCTAGAATACAGAGGCATCCAAATCTAAAAGGTTTTGCTGCTTACCGACTGCGTCAAACCAGTTTTTATTTTCTTATCTTTGTGTAAATAATAATACGTGTGTGTGTGTGTGTGTGTGTGTGTGTGTGTGTGTGTGTGTGTGTGTGCGCGCGTGTGTGTGTAGGTCTGTGTGTTGAGCGGCATGCTTGTCACTGAGTTTGTGTCTCACCTTTGTGTCTTTTCAGCACGCTACAGATGGCTGAATGGTTACGTCTGCCCTGCCTTCTCACTCTTCTCTGTCTCCTTGTGTTGCTGTCTTTGTCAGTCGGATCCGAAAGTTTTTCCCTGCAGAGTGTTTTCAGTGACAATTACAGTTCCTTGTATTTGTTGGATTTTCTGTTAAAGCTGCATTAAGCGATTTCTAAACCACAAAGGGCAGGAGTCTTATACAGCAAATGATATACGTTCACTTATCACCCTTACAGCTCATCTGTCAGCTTGTACTTCCCAAAAGAGTTATTTTTACAGCCTTCATTGTGCACCGGCTGCTCATTCCCATCATTAGGTGCCACACAGACATCTCCTAACTCTAACTAAAGGAGGAGGCCCTCTGAGGGAGTTCTTGATAAGATCTGCCCATTTTTGTGCCGTATCACCCTAACTTCCACTTATTGTACGATCCCATCTTTGCCAGTTTTGACAATACAACCCATAGGCAATTTGTTTCTTCTTGCCTGGTTGTCTTTCATGTCTCATTTTTCACATTAGGTCTTTGGGTTGGTATTTTTAATTGGCTTTGGTAAGGGACTATGGGACTCTACATCCCATTAGGCATGGACCATGTCCTCCAAAGTTCTCTACTCTTGAACTAGGGTCCTTTGGTGCGGTCAACTGGAGTGGGTGAGGGAAAGACGCTCTGTCTCACAGCACTACCATAGTCCCTTTTCTTTGACTCGTGTAGCCTTCTTGAGTCTGAACATAGCTTTATGCTCGGGATGGGCTGTCAAAAATGGTGTTTTTTGAAATTCCTGGAAACAGTCAAGCATCTGTAGTGTGTCGGCCTTCTTGACCACTCTTTCTCAACACCCTCAGGGTGCACTGGATCTTTCCAGGTTCAGGAGATGACATAATCCAAATATGAGATGGTAGCAACACTCTTTGTCGTCTTTGAGTGTTGGTGCTCTCTTTGCACAGCGTGATTTTTATCTATCAACTGGGTGCTGTGATTTTGGGGGATGACAACTTGATTAGAAGGACCTGGGATCCACCAGATGGACACGTGAACGGACGCTATGAGTTTAGAGAGGTTGGAAGACGGTTGTGAGCTGACCAGCAGCCCGTGAACCTGCTTCACATTACTTGACGCAATTCTAATATTATTTATATCGCTTAATGGAGCTTTAATTTTAACCCCTTGACAGGTCTACTGTATGACTACTGTTGCTATTCTAAAGCATGGTAGAACCAGAGACATTTTATTCTTCATTTCCATGACTTTCAGTCAGAGAATCTGCTGATCAGAACTAAATAGTGGACAAATTATTCTCAGAATTTCTGCCAATATGGTTTTCCAACACCTTCCCATGTCTCTGCTTCTAGCATGATCCTACTCTTGTCATTTAATGTATTTTTCCCCTTGTTGCTACTATAACAGTCAAAGTGGATGAATATTGATATGATTTCTATGCTGGGTTTAGTTCAGAAAAAAGACACATTCACACTCGGTTGGAATGTGAAAATCATCAAATTCAAATCACACAACATCAAATCTGATGTGAGCTGAGCCCATGCCATTTTAGTAGTCACATTGTTCACCCAACATTATTTTAGATGTCTTAAAACATTTGCCTGCATTAATCACTACATACTACATGAGGGTTGCTATTGACACACTGGCTTGATTCACTGGGGTACAGAAATACCACTCCTCATTAGCATCAATTTCACCGCCTTTTCGTCTTGCCATTACATCATTACTTTTAACGTTATAAGCTCTTCCTCCTGGATTGTCCCTTATTCTTCTTTGTAAGAGATCTTTAAAATATACACAAAAAAATAAACCTGCCTGGGTATCAAAAAAAATAATTAAAAAAAAAAATATATATATATATATATATATATATATATATTCGCTACAGATTTGGTTCAGTCATAGATGTTCTTAGTGAGAATGTTTGGAAAATGAAGATTGAGAAATGTAGACTTCATCAATCTTAGAAATGAGGCTGTTAAGAGGAACGGTAACATCAAGTAACTCAAAGCTGTTTTTCAAACTTAGTTTGGTGTTTCCTTTGAGAGAGGAAGACCACTTTTGGACTTCATAATTATTTTTTTTTTTTTATTTTTATGAAGTAGATATGAGTTGATCACATCACATCACAGGTCATTTAGCAGACGCTTTTATCCAAAGCGACTTACATTACCCATGGCTTTTCACATTTTTGCCCGGGGAGCAATTAGGGGTTTGGTGTTTTGCTCAGGGACACTTCGACATGGAACATGGGGCAGCCTGGAATCAAACCAACAACCTTGTGCTTCCCAGCACAAGGGGCAGCCTGGAATCAAACCAACAACCTTGTGCTTCCCAGCACAACTTCTCTAACCCCTGCGCCACGACGACAGCTCTCAAATTCTCAATGCATGTCAACCCCAGTACCCTACAAAACGCACGTTTGTTCACCTTCCTATAAGGTGTGGATATCAATGATTGCCTGACCTTTTCCCTGCCAGATTTGTTCCATAACATGAGGGTGGAAGATCTATTTCCCGCAAAAGGGGTTGCCCACTGTGGAACTTGATGGAAGTCAGAACGCTGGAGTTGACTGATGTGCAGAAAATAATGCCTCAGGGACCAAATGCCATTCACTGCTCTGCCTGTTGTGGTCGCACTGCACTCTAACAAGGATGCGTCCATTGTCACAACAAAAAAAAACGCTGACGTCCCTCCACTGATGCAGGGTGACAATGCAAGTCAATGTTTTTAATTTTATTATCCTTCGGGATCTCAAGGGCACAGTTGGGTTAAAGCTACCAGATGTTGAAAATCCCTCATCATATGAAGACTCACATGTAACAACAGATATCACTGTAGGCAGATAGGGGGTAGGCATTTTGAAACTTTCCCCCTGATAAAGAAGGGAGACAGATCCCTGGGATGGTTTATCACAGAATCCCAGACTGCAAATCGAATAATCCTCACTGTAGGAAACTATTCTGATGCTGTTATTTTTCAACATGGACACTGAATCCATTCAAAAAAATGACATTTCCCATTCAGTGCAGCAGCAAAGGCAGGTTTAGTTAAGGCCGAGGGGTCTCAGCTTTGTCCTGCCTGCATTCTGGCACCTCTTCCCTCTGCTGCACTGCTGCTGCAAAGTCTTCTTTGCTTCTCCACCCAGCGTTCAGCTTCCCCCCTCCAAGGCTGGGCTGAAGAGGCTTTGGTTGTGTTGTTGGGCAAATCCATTTCTGCCCTTTGTGCATCACGCGTGATAGAATTTGACCAGTAAAAAGCTCATTTCTTTCACACTCAGCACAATCTGGAGACTGTGTAAATGTGGTCTTTGACTGGTGTGTCGGACAAATCTGGTGTCACAAGAGCTTCCAAGACAGTTGCCATATTGAAAACAACAAATTAAGTTTGAAAAAAAAAAAATTACTGTTTGAGAGTGTGTTACCGTCCTACATTTCAAAATGATTACACTGGTTAAGCTACACAAGCCAGGATACTCCGTTACCAACTCTTTACACATACATACTCTTCAAATCAAATTTCATAAAGATTGTTAAATGCTAGTTGTAATATTACTGGCTATACCAACAATTTGACATACATTTGATGTGATTCAAAGATGACCATAATATACATAATATTAGGTATGCATAGTTACATTTTTGAAAAATAGTTAATTAAGTAAATCCATTCAATCTTAACCACATTGGTGGCGGTTATTTCTTTCTATTCTATTCTATTATTTCTAAGTAATTCCTTAGTTTGACTTAACACGTATGCTATAAAATTGATTTTCTCCAAATCTATCTGCCTCACCAAAGTATACATCACTCGTTCCCTTTGCTAAGCTAAAATCATTTACTCTAATCATGCAATCATTTAAAATCATTTTCAGTGACTTACAGAGATATGAAAGGATCCATGAATATGAATGACCAGAATCAGCATCAGTGATTGTTACCAGGCTCAAAGTGATTCATGTAGAGGTTTTCCCTGAATTACAACCCTGAAGCTGGCTAAGAGGAGAATGAATAGTGGAGTCAACAAAGCAAGCAAATAATTTAACATGTGGTTCGGATCTGTTGGCGTTTTTTGGAACTGAATGCAATATTTCAAGCTTATTGAATCTGAATTATTTCAAATCTCTTATCGATTCTAATTCAGACAGGCTCAGTTTTCTACAATTGTAAATAAATGGATGGTTCTGCAACTGTTTAAATTTAGGGCAATGTAACTAAACTAAACTAACTAAACAATGTTACTAAACATATTAAAAATGTTAGAATATAATTGGATAAACATAAAAGGACTAAACGGTGTATCGTTCAGAATAGTGTAGTTAGACCAAACACTTTTGAAAAACATTTTTTTTGCATTTAGGTGCAGCCTTTGCTGTTTCATCAAAAGCTTCCTAATACAATTAGCTAGAGTTCTGATTAATACATATTAACCTGCCTGAGCAAACTGAGCATGCATGTACCTAAAGTTTACATGACACAACTCTATTCTCCAGATATGAGCCAATATGTTCATTTATATTATTATTATAAATGATAATTACCCCTTGCTGTAATCACAAACTTGACCTAAACCCGTACTTACGGTCTTTTATGTCAGGGAATTCTCCTGTTTGAGATTCCAATACCTCAATTATTTTCACGAGTTCAATGTTCCAAGGATTTTGCAGGGAATCGATAAGAGATTTGTAAATGATCAATCAACGACTGGCTATCAGAACCCAACCCCATCTCCATGCTTCTCTAACAGCATAAAATGTGTCTCTAATACAGCCATATTTGACTTTTTTATTTCCACGGTTACTTACTTAAATCTAATGCTGATGAGTTTGCTGCTTAGAAAAGAGAAGCGTTTCAGCTGTGTATGTTGTGTTTATGCTAAGGATTAAGAGTTCATGCTGCTAACATGCATACCAGCAGGAGGACTGACGTTGACAACAACTGAACTGCTAACAGCCACTGTGTTCATGTAGAAATGCTGTGAACCTGGCGGTGTTAAAGTTGAACGAGCAGGGGCTGCTGGACAAACTGAAAAACAAGTGGTGGTATGACAAGGGCGAATGCGGCAGCGGAGGAGGGGAGAGCAAGGTTAATGCACACACACACACACACACACACACACACACATATACACACTAAAACACACGAACATGAAGGTAACTCTGGGTTATCAGGTGTTAAAAATGACCTAAAGAAGCAGCACAGTAACAACGCCACATGTGGAGGTACCAATGTACTTTAGCTATTGCCTTTCAAATAACCCCCCCCCCCCGCCAAAAAAAAAATGCTCAATTTTATTACATATACCAGATTCAGAAGTGTCTTATAAGCACCACCAGCAGGTAGCGTTGTTGTCTGTGCTGCTTCTTCTACAGATATGTTGCACCCTGTTTGGTTGAGGTCAGGGTTAGGGCAGGCTTCAGGGGCAAGGTCAGGGTCAGGTGACCTCATACCAGATGGCAGCAACAGTGCAGGAGAAAGGGCTGTTGATAAAGAGTTTGTGCAACCTGGGCAAACTCTGTTTATCTATGGCTCTGGCCTGGAGGGATATTACTGCTGAAAAAGCAGAAGGTTTTTCTCACTGCAGCACCTCTCATTTTCTGTCTCTGAGGCCAAACAGAGGGGCCAATGGCAGCAGGCGACTTCATTCTTTACAGGGTTTTTTTTTTCGGGCTTAAACGTCTACTCCTTCCACTTGGTGGCTAAAATAATCTCCACAATATAACATGTTAGCATCTGGCCATAGAGAAGAGGAGACCTTCTTCTGCAAAATGAACCTCTAATGTGACATCTCTGCCTTTGATTTGAAAGTTATGTGGTGAGGTATCGTAAAGCCAAACTTTAACATTGGTATCTTTCATGACGAATGAAGTCCCTGCAAAAAAACATTAGTGGGCCCTGTCTCGGTCACTAGACCAGATTGTGAGAATTGCTGCCCCACTAATAACATAAGATAACATTGATAATGATGTTATTTATGTTATTCCCATTAAAGAGTTCCAATAAACCTTGCCGTATTGAAACTGAATGAGCAAGGGACCCTAGACAAGATGAAAAACAAGTGGTGGTACGATAAAGGAGAGTGTGGCTTCAAGGACTCCACCAATAAGGTTAGTTTTATATGTCTGTGGGTCAATCAAACACAGTGTCTGTTCACACATGCAACGTGCACATTTTGCTTTGTTCTATAGCTTGTACTTTAGGATTAAAGTTGTTCCAATTTGTACAGAATGGCTAATTGCAGATGATTTCCAACTGTGTGTAATGCTAAGGAAACACCAGGTTAAAGCATGAGGGTGCAGCTTTCTATAAGTATAATGTTGATAAGAAGAGTAACAAGTAGTGTGTTGAAAGGATAAACTCACTGTGCCAGTTAGGCTCACTGATGTGTTTGTTTTGTCTGTTTCAACACTTTTGTTTAAGTCTGACCGTCTGTCTGAAACCTGATTCTGACACACACAGTTTCCATGTTGGAGTCTACAAATTAAGAGCTATACATGTACAAGAAAATCAAATCTGTTATTATGTGCTGTAGTGAAAGGGAGAACCAGACCTGTGAGTTAAAGACTTTCTGGAGAGTATGTTGCATCAAGACAATGTGTTTTTGTTTCATTATGTTGTTGTTTAGGTGTGTTTGTATCGACTCAAGGCTTCACCCAGATCCTTTAGGGGAACCTCGCTTCTTTTACATGGAAAATATTACCCTTAACCTTACACTGCCTGCATACCTCAACTGTATTATGTACATTTGGTTTACTTTTTTGTTTAAATCTCGTATTAATTATTCCACTCCTTAGCCTGACTCCATGCCATGACTCCCGTAACCTCAAGCTCAAGGCATCTTTAAGAACAATATGATGCATAAATAGAACTTTGTGAAGGTGACCGCTAACTGGTTCGTTTTTCAGTCCTCCGTGGTTCGGCGGTCCATCAGGAAGTGCTGCTGGCAGCAAAGAGCTCCTTTGTAGCTTCAAGCTCTCGTCACGTGGCTGAAACTGGTGTTCAGCCATGTGGGGTTCTTGTAAGATAGAAATGTGTTGGTACGTGAACTAACTCCCCAGGTCCACTTACCTCATTTCAGGCATATCGCAGTCGTTTTTAGCAAACAGAAGTGTATCAGGTGTCATCAACACGTAAGTGAGGAACGTCAACCTAATTATTAACTAATTGATTATACAGTAAATTTGTCTAATTCCCCTCGATTTTGGAGATTAAAGGTAAATGAGTTCTGGGTAACCGCCGGAGTCACAGCTTAACACTGGATGTTATCCATCTTGTGCATATGCGCAGGTCGAGTATTTAATGTGAACAAAGTCACATGAGACCTGGGATTACGACGGCCAGCTCCAGCTTTGTGAGTCGTCATCATCAGGAATCACGAATCACAAAACATCTATTTCCATAATATGTCAGACATAATATGTCAGAATTTGGTTGGTGCATAACGGCAGATAGTTCGACAATGGACAACAAAACAACAGTGCAAGAGGAATAAAATAAAATATAATGCTATGGGTTAGTAATATAAGACAAGTGTATGTGCAATGGAGGCCATTGAGGTTATCTTGCTGAACTATTTGTAGCATTATCCCTGTTAGTGATGTGTCGTGGGGCCATTTGTTGTCCCCATAAATGACACCACCTTGACGCTTGATATGGTAGTTGCATTGACAACAGGGCTTCATCTTGTACCCCATCAGAAGGGAGAAGTTCCATGTAGATGCAAGTCATGCATCATCTGTTGGAGACCAAGGCATTTTGGCAGATAGCTACCATGATGCCTAAACCAGCAGAGTGGCTGCTTGATATTCATAATTGTAATTTTGAGTTATTTTGCATGTATTTTATTCTTTTTATTTTCATGTCGTCAAAGTGAACAGGTTTCTCAAGAACAAAGGCAAGCATTGTTTAAATTACACTTCTGTAGCTCTGTAGCCGAGCTTCATAGCTGGCCAATATCCCATCAATAACGCTTTCTGCTGAGCGTAAACCCCTGTCTGCGGGCTAAGACAGACAATAGTAACTGAGATTGTCCAATTGCAGCCTTTGAAGGACCTAAGCATTGCCGCGTCCATAAAGTCATAGGGCTGCGAACAAAGACTCTTTGATTACCTGCTTTTTCATTCTAAGCTTTTAGTTTTAAACGGCAATCATGGATTTCCAGCTCGAAGCTACATGGGCGGCAGGCCGGGCTGCCCCTCCTCATCCCAGGTCACAAAGGGAGGATAATGTCCAGTGTTACGCACATCGTTTGCCCTTTGGGAAGAATTCAATAGAACAACAGATTCCATGATTTTTATTATTTTGGATCCTACTGTACACACCAAAGTAACAAGCGGACTCCTGTGCCATCAGTGAAAAAAGTTCACTGCGTAAAGGGTACACACACATCAACACATAAACAAACTGATCAAAGGTAAGATTGGTTGAAGTGTGTGCAGGTCAGGTTTAGTATTGTTGTCTGGTACCCTTTGTTGTCCCAATAATCTGTATTCATAATGAGTTCAATGTGTGCACATGTGAGATTCCGGGTAGTCTGTCAGTTGTTTTCATGTCAACAGCCAACTAACCTTTCCTCTGTCTGGCTGCCTTTCTTGCTTGTGTGTGTACTAGGAGAAGACCAGCGCCCTGTCCCTCAGTAACGTAGCAGGAGTCTTCTACATCCTGGTCGGAGGTCTGGGTCTGGCCATGATGGTAGCGCTGGTAGAGTTTTGCTACAAGAGCCGTGCAGAGGCCAAAAAAATGAAGGTAGCTTCCATTTTTTAAAGTAGTAATTAGTTTTATAGTTTAGATCTGCTACTTTAAAGATTATTGACAAAAAAATACTGAGTCTGAACAAATGCCTTCTGGTCGGACAATAACAAAGGGAAAATCCGGTGTGGTTAATGTGATATATGTGAAATCCATTAATATAGAAGTGCATTCAATGTAATAAGAAATAGTATGCCAGTGTCTATTTGATATCATCCATGTATTAAGTTACCAGTCAGTTGCCAGTTTTTTACGGCTGATGAAGTAGACTCCATTAAATGTAACTCTGTTGACTTAATTCATCAGCAAATTAATGTGTATAGGAAATCTGAACTGTACAACTAGGAATCTCACCTTAAATTCACACCAAACGCAAGAGATTTACACCTTATTATTGAAGTTAACATCATCAGTATATATCCAGACTAATGTTTTCATCTTCTCACTCTCTGTCTGTCCGCTCCAAAGCATTTACAAACTACTGCCTCCGGCCTGCAATGACTTCTGGTTTACCACCAAGGTTCTTTATTAATCAAGGTTCCTTGCCATTTCACTGATTGGTGTTTTTAGAGAGGACCAGAAAACTTAAGGTTTAGAACTGTTGGTATTCAACACTGTTTATTTTGAGCGGTTATTTTGAGTGATTAGTGTACAGTGCATGTTTTTAAAGCTTTTCCACAAAATTACCACTCCTACTATACTATATTGCATTATATTTGCAAAAGGACTAACGGGCTAAACGGCCATTGGTGCAAATGAGACATTTTATGGGAAGGTTTTTAAAGCTTGCAATTACTTTTCAGGAAAATGCATTTTCTTTACAGATATTGGTTAATAGCTTGTTGTTCTTGCAACTAGTAAATATTGTCTTATTCATAATTATTCCTGTATTTATACGGAAATTTAGGCAATTCACTTAAGTGGGCAGTCAGAATGCATTTCTGTCATAATGTAATTGTCATCTTTTATTTGTTTTCATTCATTATTTCCGGCATGACATTTAAGCTTTGAAGAAGACATATGCTGTTGTCATTTACTTTAAAAAGACTAACAGGATTCTTTATCTCAGGTCTCAAAAGGCCATTCTCTCTCTATCTCTTTCTATTCCTTTCACACCGTATTGTATTGCAAACCCATAATGCTTCTGCAGTTATCTGCCATTGGTGCTGTCAGAACTTGAGCTATTGTTGAATTAGTCATTACGATCGCGCAGATACCGAGTCATCATTGCTACAATCAGTATAGTAATAACCATGACTTTATTTGTTTATTATGAAGGTGGCAGCCAACACCTTGTCGTCCCCCCAGCACACAGGAAACTACACACACACTTTGTCCTCTCCTCAACATGCCCCCAACTTCAACGTGCTGTCACCCAGCCACCAGCCAAACTACGCCACCTATAAGGAGGGCTACAACGTTTACGGCATTGAGAGTGTCAAGATCTAACACGGGTAGGAGAGCGATGATTGATGGCTACGAATTTCCTAACCTCACAGTCATAGACAAAGTTTAGACAATTCACTTTCAATTGGCTTCCATTGATACCATCGAACAACAGCTGCATTCACTTTATGGTTGTGCATGGAAGGTACAGTGGCGTTTGGGCCAAAATGTTACAAGTACTGCTTGAAGAATTAAACCCATCATTTAAACGCATTTAAATGCATCCATCACTGCCACAGCCACTAAGGCAACGTTATAGGCTGCTCATATTTAAACAAACCTTCTGTTTGCCTTTGGAGGATAAAACTGATCTCCCACTGTCCAGGGAGAAGGGTACCAAGTTTCAGTTCAGCAAGACTCCAAGCTGCTGATTTGTTTCCAATTCATCGGTGGTGGTGTTAGACGTAACAATCAATCAACAGGATGACCTGTGAAACCCCACCAATGCGTATGATTTCATTAATGTCCATATACATGGATGTTTTTTTGCTTATCAGCATTTTCCCTACAATAAGTCAAAAGTGGCCATTGAGGCTGGCTGGCATTGCAAAGTGGTACGATCTACGGCATATTCATGCAATGATGTGAATGCAGCAGTTGTCCTTGATGAACAAAAGTAACATGAAGACAATAATAATGTCTCCTGCATACAAGGTATTTTGTCAAAACTGTAAATGGCTGTGAAACTCCTTTCCTTTGTTCACCCATTACCCAACAGCTTGCTCACCTCCTCTATCCCTTTTTTTCTCACCTCTCCTGACCTCTCCTCTTCCGTTAGCCGCACCCTCTACCCTTTCTGCACTCCTTTCCTGCTTCTTTCCTTTCCTCCTTCCTTCCCTCTTTCTTTCCTTTCCTTTCCTTTCCTTTCCTTTCCTCTCCTCTCCTCTCTTTCTTGTCCTCTTACCCACCTCCACTTTCCCCTTTTTTAATTTCCCCGCACCTCCTTTCTTACTTTCTAGCCAATCATGCTCTTTAATGGACTACCTCATTGGCCAATCGCTGCCATCTGTAATATGTAATATGTCAGCTTTTCAGTAGGCGGGCCCACAATTTCATTTTGAAGATGGGATGCTTCGGACTCGCAGCATCATCAAACACTTGGTTGATTCTTGGTTGAACAATTATGCGTAGTACCACTGCAGTACAGTGATGAATATCACTCATTCCTTTTGAATTGATTTATCCTTTACAACACGTGGGATGTCCTACACGAGGACAAGAGAGCTTATGCTCTGATTGGTTGGTTTACTATTACAAAACTAATACTAAAGTACAACAGGCGAAGAAAACGTTTTCCATCGGCCTCAAATGAGAACACACCAGACTTTCTTGGGATGATTGCGTGATGGAAACTACTGACTGAGACTCAGTTGTGCATTTTGTCGTCAGGTCCAGTACTCAACCCTTCAATAATTAGCCACATTTGGAGAGTAAGTGCTAGGAAACACACTTTTCTTGCATCGAAATACATTTTCTTAGAAATTTCCCAGCTGTTGTATCTGGGTTAATCATATGGAATATCCTTAAGATTTAGCAGAGTTGAAGGTCGAGCCTTCCGAAAGCACTCTGGCTCAGGGAGCAGTCTTCCTGAGCCATCTGTTTCTAGGTAATGCCGCTGTAGAAAACTCCCCAGGAGCAGGCTCTGCTCGGGCCCTTTGCGATGGCCTCATACTGCAAATCAGACAATGTGTCCGATGAACAATGCAGTGAAGTCACAATGTTAAAGTGTTGTAAACAGATTACTTTCCACTACTTTTCGATTACCGCAATAATAACAAGAGAAAAAAAACTTTTTTTTGGTTGAAGGGAAAACATCAGATCATTTGGCACATTATTGTTACCTGATTTTGAGATTTTGAGTAGTATTCAAAGCTATGTTGAGGTTTTTGAATGAAGCTCTGAATGTCTGGATGTCATATTTATGATGTCCTCCCCCTAGAAATTATTTGTTTTATCGACATTGTGTTATAAATGAGTAATTTATGGTACATTTGCTGCTCTACCGCCCTGTTAAAAGGTGTGTGCCAAACTTTTTGAAAAGCTAAACGTCAACAAATATAAGTACTTAGTAATAGGGACTTTTTCACTCATTTGGGCCACACCACCCGCTTCGTGTCTTTAATTGCTCTACATCTAGCAGCCTATTGTTCTTTATCAAACAATGGTAATCCTGCTTGTAATTACGAATTTCACCAAATATGATGGAAATCTGATCTGAACAGTTACCTTTTTTGTGTCATAATTTTTCCACCTAAATACAGATTTAAAACTGTGGTTTCTTTTAAATAAGACTTCCACAAAGAGAGACTCTTAGCAGTTATCTGGAAGTAGTTTCAAGCTTATATTATGCTCAGATGCATCTGAAGTAACTAAGGTTATTGTATCTTTCAATAAGCTAATTACTGGCTTTTTTGGATTGCATATTATTTGTGTTGTGCTGAGTGATTCAGCCGATAGGAAAGCAATGATGAATATCATCATATGATGAACGAGAGAAATTAGGTACATTACCATATATGCAAGTCTACTAAATAGACATTTTGCCCGCTCTCTGTTTCTTGATTGCACGTTTTTCTCTTTACTATGTTTTTCTGCTTCTCTCCTTCTGTCTCATCGGTTAAATGACGTTTACGTCTGTCATTGGGAAATGTGTTGGGTCCAGTTAGAAACAGCAATTCTTCAATACAGAAAATGTAAAATATACTTAAAAGGAGGTTGGTTAACTCGCAACGATCCATTCAACCGATCAATATATCATTGATTCAGAATAAGTGTCATGGGAAAGATTGTAAATGAGTAAATGGTTTCTGTCTCTGCAAGAACGTTCTTTCAGTGGGCTCACACTTGATTTGATACTCTCAAGGGTCACCAGAATGAGATAGCTTTTCTATTCAAATTACTCTTTTGTTATCACAAGATTGATTGATGATTTTAACAATTTAACAATTGTATGCTTCAATTGTGCTGTGCTTTCCTCTCAGTCTTCTCAAATATGTTTGTTTCCCAAAACAATGAACCATTCCTTCAAGGTTAACTTTCTATCAGCACAGATGGTCAGCCAGAATCAGCTGTGTATCTAGTTTTGGTGTTTGATGATTAAAACGCGATTAACATATTTTTTCCTTGTACAGATGAAATTCACAGATGCAATGCGCTCCAAAGCTCGTCTATCCATCACAGGATCGACTAGTGAGAATGGTCGTGTCCCGGTGGCTTACCTCCGTCCAGGATTACCCATGAGCCTCAGCATGACTGATATGTCCTGACCACACCCGAGCCAGTGCCTTACAGCCAATCAACACACATCCTCCCTTCCCCTCTGAAAGTGAGTGGAAATGATTGTCATCTCCTTCAGGTGACCACTAACCACTCAACATTGGTGATCCGCCCTGATTCTCAATCCGGAGTTTAGCCAATCATTTCTCTTTGAGGACTCCTGATCTGCTATTTAACATCTGGCCGAAAAAGACTGGACAGATGTTGTCCTCCCACCGCTTGGCTGTCAGGCTTTAGCAAAGACCTGCCCACCAACGAAGCGAAATCACTCGACCGTCAACGAGAAAGATGGTTGGTCATATACAAATTCCTGAAAAACAATCAAGCACAGTGGACAATTTTCTAAACAAACACACATCATTGTTCCGTAGATGTTCGCCATGGAGGCTATAGAAACTAAGGACAACAGTGATGCTGACGTTAACGCAATAACAACATTAATCAGGGATGTGATCAGGCATTGTGGGTCTAAAACTAGAATCTTGTTTAAATGAGTTCAAGTGCAATGAAAAAAACCTGACGTCCTGAAAAATTGCATCCATGACAAAATAGTAATTGTAATAGCAAATAATGATAATGATGTTATTGATCTTAATTGTTTGTTTTTTTCTGCCTGAATATCCCTAATTAGTAGAGACCCAGGAGATGCATGGACTGACACACACACACACACACACACATACATATAAATACACACACAAAACCCCCAGAATGAATCTATACACTATATACAGGGATGGGCCAAATCTGGTAGCTTTCACATTTTAAGCCCGTTTTTGAAGGATGTTAGCATTTCTGACGGTTACACCGACCTGTAGCACCAAAGAGCATCAAACAAAAGCAACATTTAGACTGCTGCAAGGACACTGGTAAGGATGACAAATCGATTAAAGGATTAAAAGTAAAAATAATATATTTCAAATATATCCATACAAAAATATACTACCGCATTTGATAAATTAGCATTTAGTTAGTGGTGATACTTTGCATTTAGCAGTACTCCATTAAAACATTTTATAGTGTCTTTAACCACTTTTACTAACCTGTTCATGCATAATAGCTTAACATAAAAAAAATGATTGTTTTGGCCTTGCGAAACACACAACCCATATTTTAAAATGGCATTGTAGCCATTAAACTTCATGTAAAATTACTGTTATACTACTTTGGTACTACCGAATATTAGCAACAGAATTATATTTATTTGCATTTTTTATCATATAAATATTTTATTGAGACGGGTCAGCCATCAGACAGGTGATTGACGGGGACGTAGCAAAATCTAAACCTGGTCAAATATGATAGAAACGCACCACTTTAATTAATGCCAGTGTTTAATTACGGTGTAATTTGTTTGAGCCACATGCCAGCTGTAACAGGTTCCAGTTCTGTTTCAGACCATTGCTTCAGGTGAAGCTTCAGGCCAGGTGCAGGTTGTTTTAAAAATATTCATAATTTACTTAGAGAGCTTTTTCTCTGACTGCATCATTCCTCTTTGTCTGCATGTGACGTGTTGCAAGTAGATACACAAAGAGACAAATTTGCATTGTCTTAAGCGAGCTAACGTTAAAGGCACAGTGCCCTTGTGGTGTGTTCGGTTTGTCCCCTCTGTGGGCAGAAAGATCTTTGAAAAACTAATTCTCATCCTATTTTAAATTTAGCATAAAGAAATCCAGACCATTGAGTCCCAGTTAGCTTGATTAAAACTTCAACCGTATGTGGAGATCCTCTGTTCTTATTAAACAGCAAGAGGATGGGAAAGAAGGTGAATTAATACCAGTTTCTAAGTGAGAAATCGACACAAAGTCTACCCTAACAGCGCCCAAACAAGCCACTGTGATCTCTCTGATCAAGATAACGCCACTCTGACATCAGGAGGGTCAGTTTCTATATATGTATGTTCATATAAATATAATACTTTAAATACCGGTCAGACATGTTGCCCATCCCTGTCTGTAGGTCAGTACACCCATACAGACAAAAAGACACACCCTCAATCAGATATACATATCACTACACACTTATATACAGTCAGAGCCACACATTTTGCTTGTGCACAGGCGGCACATCGTATTGTCAAATGAGTTCTGATGCCAACTGGATGAAGTGCCAAACATACTGAGAACCAATCAGAGCTTTCCATGCTCAGCCAATGGCAGCTGCTGATACTGAAACCTGAGCCAGTAGGAGCTCTCACTGCTGTGAGGTGGACAAGAAACTGTGAAAAAAGACCTTTCTACTAATTAATATACTGCACTGATGATGGCAACGGAGATGAAGAGGACGATGAGAACTTTTGCATGTCACTTTGGGTTTTTTCTTTCAGATAAACTTGTCAGCCTGAAGCTTTGTCCCTGGCTGCATTTTAGTGTTTAATAATGATAGTAATAAGAATAATATTAACAATATTAATTGCAGTATTAATGTGGTTCTTGTTATGTATAGTGTATGTTTTTAAGAACTCAAATCTGCTACTTTCTTTCACCAGGGAGCTGTTATTTGTGCTGTTAGTTAGAAGCAAGCCGGTAGCTGAAAAGCTTCTCACGCAACATGATTAAATGCCCAAGACGTGATCAACGTCTGGTTTAAGTTGAGCAGAAAATGTCAAGGGATCTACTTCCTTTTCTTCTAATGGTCTCGTATCATTTTTTCAATGACCACATGTTGTAATTATCAGAGGTATTTTGATGTTGTTATAATGTGACATGGAGTTGCCACGGGATTGCCCCCAAACATGACAAGCACTGGGAGGAATGTGGACATGATCACCTTCACTTACAGCTTTGCTTCTGGTATAATTTCAGTTTCATTTTCTATTAAACTCATCACTTTCGAACAACATATTTTTAGTTGCCTTTCAACAGAGCAAATTATGTATTGGATTACTGGACCCCCCAAAAAGTGTGTTTTTTTTTTTTTTCACAAATATTAACACATAGCTTCTGTGCGATATGACCTTTTTCATTATATATTAAACATGCCTGGGTTGTGAATTTGACGGAGGAGAGCATTGTTCATTCTATATTTCCTTGCCACTTGCATATCCTAAAATCCACTGAGAGGTTTTTGTGCCTAAACTTAACCAAACCTGTTACCAGTCTCGCACCGAATGCACAAGTGCAAAAGGTTTGGGAGAGGCAGTGCATAGAAGGGCGCCATAGACTTACCATGCAGTCAACCTGGAGGCTACCGCCCCCACCCCTTAAATCAGAATGTTAACCTGGCAATCTGGCAACCTTCTGCAATGTTCCAGATTTTATACCTAGAAATTACACCATAACCGCTCGAATCAGATTACAGTAACGAAACGTTGAAGGAAGCCTGAGACGCACTGAACTTTTCATCCTTTCTTGTCTACTGTAAAATATTTGCTGACAGTTTCCAGTCACAGCCAGAGTCCCCATTGGATGCACTCTGTGGAGGTTAGTCTTTAGGGTGGCAGCTCTCTTTGGATGAACTAGTGTACAGGTCTGTGGTGCATCTGACTATTATGTAGGAGACTGTCATTCACATCCTCATGAGGACCATCAATTAAAGCTCCACTGTGGAGTTTTTGTAAACTAATAAAGGTTCTGATATTCTTCAGTGTCACTCACTAAAACGTATGATGTATATCCTTGGGGTCCAGCAAGCATGTTGAATTTTGTACTAACAAACTTAATTTTTGGAATATTTAAAAAAACTGCATTTAGTTCTTGCCAGAGGTGTGTCTTGTTGGTGCATTTCTGTAGTTGATAAATTACACCTTACAGACTAAAGATTAGTAGGGTTTGACTGTGCTTGTGTGCATGCATTTGAGGACCAAGTCATGACAATTAATCTATAGCGCAATCTGGATCTTTTCCAAATGATTATAAGTTGCCTAACCTTGTCTAAAGGATAAATGAGGTGTTCTCGTCGTATTGTCTTATTCAGTCAGTTCCAAGCCCATTTATTCAAAACAAAGACATCTGGAAAATGCTGCATCAATTTAGTTTGTAAAAGAGCATATCAATGGGGTAAAGTGTTTGCGGTAGATTTAGTCCAAATTTAGTCCAAATAAATAGCACTGTGTTCATGATGTAAGAAGGAGTATGTGCTCTGGTGCGTTGACGTGTTGTGAATAATTTAAGCAACTATGGAGTTCCATGAAAAAAAAAGCAACTTCCAGGTGATTGGATGAACAATCTGTCACTCAAGCTCTTCCAGAAGCAGGTCGGCAGGGGAGCAGGAACCTCTTTGCCATCGAGTCAAGCCTTTTACTGTAGTCATTTGCTCTTCTTTCAACAAATAACGGCTCTCCAGTTTCTGATAGAACTGGTGCTTTAGAAGTATCTACGCTAACCTGTTCATGAGTTGTTGTTCGGAACAAACCGTCGCGTCTTAATGACGTTTTGCACACGTCCAAGCACCGCCCACAGCTGGCCGCACGTGAGCCCCTCACATGGCGCTGTTTGGTTGCTTGATGCCTGACAAGATGATGAGGATTTTTTTTGTGTGAAATGTGACCATGTGGTTTTAAATATTGCAATGATTTTGATGCAAGAACAGAGGCTGCGGAGCGGAGACGGGCCTGGGCACCACAGCGGGGATGGTCCTGGTTCCATGGCCGATAGTTATTTTGAGCAGGCGGTGACGTATTTCAAGACGATGGAGAGCCGCAGGCATGCGTTGTAATACAGGACTACCTGAATGTCTTTGCTTGTATAGCAAAGGCTAAAAATGACATCAATATGGCAAAAATATGAATGCAGGGGATTTTATTGAATAATAAGAGCCGAGTTCCAGTAAGAACGATAAGACATGACGCAATTTAATAGTTTAGTCAAGTCGGTGTATCATAAATTATCAAAAAATGTAGGTAAATAAATGAATGAAAAATTGCACATGCAATTAAAACCATTATTTCAAACAAGAGTATTCCATCAATTGTTAATATATTCCATTTATTACTTAATTTGTCAGCCACTATGTACAGAAAAGCACCACATAGTATAATATACACAAGTACAAGTCAGTCAATATTGAAGTGTTTTAAGTATTAGCTGATGTGTTTCAGGTAATTGACTGCTTTTAAAATTAGAATGACATAATTAAACCTTTGACAGGCATCAATGAGGCTGAGTCTCAAAAAAATCCTAATTATGAAAATTAGTGTCACATTATGATATCAAATGTTAACATGGGCTTGGTGTTTCACAATTAGAAAGCTAGTATTTTACTTAAATAGTTGATGGTTTAAAAAAACAGCTTTTCAAAAAGATGATTCAGGATAACGTGACTCAACTCACTTTTTAACATTGTTTTTGATGAATTCGTTTTACTTCAAAGCTCTTTGGGCTGCATGTCTTGTAAGAAATGTGCCATACACATAAAAACTTATTTTTTTCCAACTCTAACTTAAAAGTATGCAGAAAAGAGACATGATTTAAGTACGTTTGCTGATGTATTTTAGATTACTTGAAGAAAAGTTCCATGAAAAGAACGAAAACAACAATTAGTATATATTCTTAGTTATTGAGTGTACACAAAGCCTTACCTTATTCGTCTGTGTAATAAGGCTCCACTGTTTGCTAAAAACTATTACCAACACAAACAAAGCCACACTTGCGACACACCCCCTAGCGACTGTAACCGTGCAGTAGCTTATTTTGTTGTTGTTTGTTGGTCGTCATTTGTTGGTGAGCAACTCAGTTGTGCTTCTTTCTTACACACCGTTGGACTGTTATCCATTCGCTCATCCATGTAGTCTTCATCTATTGCAATACAGCGGTGTTTCTTCAAGGACTGAGATCGCGTAAATAGTCTCTTGCAGTGTGAACACCAGTACGGTTTCTCTCCAGTGTGCACACGCAGGTGCCGGCTGTAACTATATGAACTATTGAAAGATTTCCCGCATTGGTCACAGCTGTACGGTTGCTCTCCCGTGTGGACACGAAGGTGACGCATGTAATTACTTAGACGACCAAAACCTTTCCCACATTCTTTGCACTGGTAAGGCTTCTCCCCCGTGTGCGTACGCACATGTTGTTTATACGTTTTGGAAATTGAGAAGCTTTTATCGCATAGTTCACAGCGGAAAGGTTTTTCCCCGGTGTGGATACGCAAATGTGATTTGTAATTACCCAACTGAGAGAAACTTCTCCCGCACTGATTACAGCAGTATGGTTTCTCCCCTGAGTGAACACGCAGGTGTATCTTGTAACTACTTAGGTCACTGAAACTCTTTTCGCATTGGTCACACTCGTATGGTTTCTCTCCAGTGTGGTTACGCAGATGCAGACTGAAATGCCCGGACTGCGTAAAACTCTTTCCACAAAAGTCACACTGGTACGGCTTCTCTCCGGTGTGGCTCAGCTGGTGCCGCTTGTATGAACTTAAAAAGCTAAACGTTTTCGGACACTGATCACAGCTGTATGGCTTTTCTTTAGTGTGGACACGCATGTGTATCTTGTAAATACTGAAGTAACTGAAGGTCTTTTCACACTGGTCACACTGGTATGGTCCAGTGTGGTCGCGCAGGTGTTTTCTATATGAACTCTGGTCACTGAAATGCCTTTCACATTGTTCACAGCAGAATGTAGTTTCTTCAGTATGTGTCTCCAAGTGTCTATTGTAGACTGTTAGTTGGCTGAAACTGATGCCACATTGTTCACAGGTGTACAGTTTCTCCGCTGTGTGAGTGAGTTCATGTCTCCTTAGACTGCAAATCCGACTAAAAGATTTCCTACACTTCGGACACTGGTGGGATCTGCTGCTGTCTGTGTCCTTCGGTTTCAACTGAGGAAAAAGAGAGAGATAAATGTCAGTGGAGAAATTGATATGAAAGGCAACCTTGATGAATGGTGGTGGTTAAGGTCCCTTTTTGTCTTGGTCTCTGATATTGACTGGAAACAATGAAGTAATGCAATACATCTTCCCACTGCTAAGCTGTGTCGCTTTGCATTTTCCTCAGAACATTTGTTTGGACCTTGTTAGAGTCCAAACAAAATTTAGCAGATGTACTTACGTTTTCATTTCCTAATTACTCAGTCTGCTTTGTGTAAATCAGTGATAGATTTCAATATATTTTTATACCATCAATATTGCAACTGCTTTTCTGTTTCAAACAGACTGAGAAATAGTACATGATTGGACAAGATGATGACAGGGCTAGAGTTTTTGGTAATGACAAAAATACTGGATATTGTTGATCTCACCTCTTCTGAAGAACTCATTTCACTGGCTAATTGGTGGAAGTCACGCTATCCAAGTTCAGATCTTGAATGCAATCCAGAGTTTTCTCGATGCCGTGTTCACATAGCTGTTATTAAAAATATCTTGACAAAGTTGGGGAGTGGTGGGGAGCCAAATGCCACCAGGAGAAGAGTTTGTTGCAAGGGGAATCTGCCAAAAGAAAACAGATCATGTAAAAATAAATACAATGTCAAAGAAAGGATTTTAATGTTGAGGCTGAGACAGTTCAACATATCCTAAAATCATGCAGGAAACTACAGAAAAAAGGCAGGTAGAGGACAACGATCAAAGTACATTAGTGTGGAGAGAAAGAGTTACATGTTCTCAATGTAAGAACAGTGTATTACCATGAATCAGCTCTTCCCCTCCATCAATTCCATCAAATCATTTGAGATTTTTAGTTTTAGAAATAGTGTGGAAGGGAGGGACAAGATTGACACTAGGGCTGGAAGCTCACCTTAGGTTGTAACGTTATATTAATAAAAAATTAGTAACAATCAGAGGATTTCCTTTGTGGTGGTTTAAGTGAATTGCATGCTGTGCCAAAAGTTAGTAAGCATAAATAATTTGGGGCAGGCACAATGCCAATCATGATTCCAGTTTATCCAGTAATTTTTAAACCCAAATAAAAGTGATGATGGATCTCAATCCTAGAATTCTTTATATTATTTATTTTATAATATCAATGTTTTATAATTGATTTTAGAGACCAGAAATGTAATTTAATGTATCTACTGCTGAATTGACCTGTGGAAGATCCCTTAAAATATTTAAGGGAAAAGAAAAAGAATCCCAAGAAGGAATACCCAAACTATATATTTGTATTAATAAATATATACTAATTCATCAAATATATTTGATTTATTGTAGGTCTCCCAAATAAATAATAAAACAGGTATGATCAATTTAAAATATTTTATTCCATCATTTAAAAAAATACTGAATCTTGAATTCAAAAGGATGGCTGCAACACAGATTCATTTAGTCTTTGCATTTCACGGAAACCCCCGTCCCGAGCAAGAGAGAGTGACAACGGCTGGTTCTGTGAATCAAATCAACAGCTTTGTAATCTATCAACCAATCCATGCAGCTCTAGTCCAAAGTCTTGATAAAATCCACAAAAGCTATAGACAGAACTAAAAAGGAAGTATTGCTACGGCTCATTATCATCATCATCATCGAGTATCATCAGACAGGGACTAACGGCGGCGGCATCAGTCGGCCATATAGAACTTTGCTCCATGGATATGCTGTACACCTTTAAATCTATGGTGGGTTGCCAAGAAATAAGTGAACAAATTCATGGTGAGTAAATGAATCCCCTCAATGTTAAGGAACCATGACTTATCCTCAAGTACCATCCTCAGACTGAAATGTATAATATCTATTCAGACTAGTTGCGTTCCCCTGACGTGGAACAGCCTCACCGGGACTTTCTCCAGCCCAGTTCCAAAGCCTGATCATCCTCACCTGCTTTGAAGAATCGTGACTGATAAATGCATGTGGGCGGGTTATATATATATTATTATATTATATAACTCTCACAAATTAGTGTGAAGGGGAAATGTAAAAATAGGCAATCTTTTCCATGCCCTGCATTGACATGTTGTCTGTGGTATGTTTAAAAAAAAAAAAAAAGATATATGTATAATAATGGGAGCAGAAGTAAAACTCCAATGGACACATTTCAGACACATTTCAGATTAGTGTGTGCTTTGGTACAGTTTAGGAAAATGGCTTGCAACGAAACAGGGTGTTTCAAACCTGCAAATATCTTTTGGACCATCTATCATGACACCCACATCTCACACAAAGCAATGGGAGATCGTAATGCCCTTAACACTCGCAATTTGATCTACCATCTGCATCTTAACGTGTCATCATCCAATAAACACGGGACACGGCGTCCAACGATGTCGATCACGTTAATAGAGTTAGTGGAGTTTGAGGTCCATCAGGCTAAGTCTGCAGTCTATATACGTAACGTTATCTCATTATTTCGCTCCAACAAACAACAACAGTGCTCGTCATCACCGGGCTAACGTTAGCTTAGCACCGCCGCGGCCCAGCATTAGCATAACGCATTTAAGCTAGCAAGAGAGAGCGGCGAGGAGCCGGAAAGCAAGGCGCTACATTTTAATACCATATTTTAAACCACCAACGAATCCAAATCGTGCCATTAAAACAGTACAACACATACATTTCGCTCCCCCACGGGTTATCTTCTGCTATCAGTTAACGTACTATGAAGCAGCCACGCAAATATCGCCATCTTGGATAATCTTGTTCATTGGTGTTTTACCGCAGCGGCGCTTCGCTGCTGCCATCTTGTGGAATGTCCGTTACTGTGCCTCTCATTTCGTTCCAGATCATTTCCCCTCGAGTAACCATTCCATCCCGCAACCTCCGTACTCTGGAATACTTCTTAATGATATTTACGGTAACCCTATTTATCTAATAATTCTAATTCCCTTTAGTGTTTATTGATGGCCGGCAGACCAGCCCACGTGCGCCTTACTGCCCCCTAGTGGACTGGCGTGTGGAGCCGTAGATTATCTAACGACAGAATCATTCTTTTATTTATGATATATATAGTCTCACCTTTATTTAATTTAATTACAATTATTGGTAGATTGGTATCATTGGTATCATTGATAGTTTTTTCCTCCAATCTTGTCTCCCATCTTTGCTTTTTATTGTTGAAGTGGTTTGGAAAAGAACAATTACATCTTATCTTGTAAGAACACAGCCTGGAACTGGAAGACGTTCCAATTAGGGAGTAAAAAGTATCAAATAAATCCCCTCAATTGTACATCATATTTTTTGACGTTGTCATGTTGACGATTTTTAGTCATAAGGACACGAGTCCACAGGTCCTTGAATTTAAATGCATATTTTCGCTACAATATGTAGTGCTTTGTTTTTTGTGATTTCATTTTGAATTAGTATTGGGATTTTGCAGTTTTGTAGTTTGTTTTAAACTGCATGTTTTCTTGGGTTGCAGTTCCCCAAGTTGAAAATGAAGACAATCTGAGAAAAGTAAAAGGGAAAAGTTGCATGTTTGAAGTAATGTATCTCATAACATGTGTTTATTTAAGTATTTTTGTTATGTACTGTACTATAACAACTGAAGCAGGAATTGAAAAAAATAAAATCTGTCTCGAAGCACAAAACAAACCTGTTTTTGTTCGATGCTGGTTAATTTCTCTGTTATGGCAGCACTCCACCTAGTGGCCATCTTCAGCACATGACGCTTTCTACGCCACCTGTCACAGTGTTACATTGGCTGCGTGTGTGTTAAAATAGCATCTCCTGTGTCATTGCAGTGAACCAGTGAACGCACCTCTGAAACAAAGGTAGGAAGGTAGAGGAAACTTTTCCAATGTTAACACCAACAGTTAACATGCTTTTTTTCCTCAGTATCCACGATCAGGCATGTTGCAAAAGACTGGCAATATCAGCTGCGTTTGTAATAACTGTTATGTAAGTGTATTACAGTAAAAAAAGGGACAGTTGAATATTGTGTGGCTCTGATGTCATGGTAATTTCAACATTGATGCCAAATGGTGCAGACGGGTGTGCATGGGGTGCGTAGCTGCTCGCTGGCCAGGCCGGTGTGGCGCAGTTTCAGCGGATAGCTGACATTCATGCGCCGATCTCCTCCCGTCCATCATCAACATCCAGCCGCCGCAGAATAACCAAACGGTGCTGCGTGTATCCGTCTGCAAGGTGGATTAACCAGACACGACCAAACAGTTCGCTGCTTCTTCGTCGTGGCAGTGTCTCGTGTAAATGTATTTTCCTGACATACTGTAAGCACCAATCCATCGGGACACTGAGATGGAGATCAACTAAGCCGCGTTTATGCGAGTAGGGGGCAGTCGAGTGGTGTTTCTCTTCTAGCATCTCGGAACGTGAAAGGAGCTGTACAGATAATTGTTGTTTTGTAAATCACGACCCTGTATGTTTTGAATACGCGGTAGTGGGATGAAGATGCAGTCGTATAAAGTTCGGCGCAGTTTGGAATCGCGCTCGTGTCCGTGCGCAGCGCGGCGCGCGCCACGGACGGATCGATCGACGCAGCCGCCTTGAATTGATTGCTAAACTCACCGATTAACTTCGTCAACACGAGCCACTGCACTAAAGCACACACTAATTTGATTGATGACCTTTTTTTTAAATTTAATTTCCGATTATTTGGTCAGTCTGACTTGTACAAACGCGTAGAATCTTCTCTCCCAGTTGCACTTGCAGTAACTACTGTACCTACAGGTTAAACGTGCTCAGCAGGGAGTGAAGCGCTTAACTGACCAAATTTAATGAATATCTTCTCGGCATTGGTTGATATGCCGCTTCAGTATGTGCAAGTCTCAAGTTACTTGTACTGTACTTACACACTTGGTTACTCTGAGCTTCAACGTCCAACGCAGATTACATCATTACTATATGAATAGTAATGATGTAATCTGCGTTAAATACAGTACCCCTGCAGGATGCAGGTATATGTAAAGGAAGTGACAGCTCCTCACAGATATGGGTTCTTGGTCTCCTGCTGGATGTTTTTGCTCATTCTTTTGCTGCAGTCTCACAGTGTTGTCCGGAGGCGCTATGGGGAAAGAAAAGCTCCACATAAACATTGTGGTGATAGGACACGTCGACTCAGGCAAATCCACCACCACCGGCCACCTCATCTACAAGTGTGGGGGCATTGATAAGAGAACAATTGAGAAGTTTGAGAAGGAAGCTGCAGAGGTGAGACTCCTATTGTGTCCTACTTTCCCACTAGAACAGCAGCAGTGTTCTAGTTCTAAAGTATATTGAGCTTATGAACTATTTGAAGCATTTATCAAATATAATGTTTAGTTAAATGAAAATGACATGGTGTTATTGTCCTTTAGATGGGAAAGGGTTCCTTCAAATACGCCTGGGTCCTGGACAAGCTGAAGGCAGAGCGCGAGCGGGGCATCACCATTGACATCTCTCTTTGGAAGTTTGAGACCAGCAAGTACTACGTCACCATCATCGACGCTCCGGGGCACAGGGACTTCATCAAGAACATGATCACTGGGACTTCTCAGGTAACAGGGGGAGAGCAGAGAAAAAGAATACAAAATGGGAAAACGCATGAGAAAGAGAAGAAAAGCTCTGAAGGAGGAAAGCAGTTCAGAACAGCTCAATATTTGTGAACAAAAGCATAAGACGTTTTTCACTCCACTGAAACTAGTTGCAGACAAGTTTGAAAAGTTTAGAAATTGAGCGGAGATTGGTTGAAAGCTGATCATCTCCGTCCCCCATTCAGGCCGACTGCGCCGTGCTGATCGTGGCCGCAGGCGTCGGTGAGTTTGAAGCTGGCATCTCAAAGAACGGGCAGACTCGTGAACACGCCCTCCTTGCATACACCCTGGGAGTGAAGCAGCTCATTGTGGGCATCAACAAGATGGATTCCACTGAGCCCAACTACAGCCAGAAGCGCTACGAGGAGATTGTGAAGGAAGTCAGTACCTACATCAAGAAGATTGGCTACAACCCCGACACGGTGCCCTTTGTGCCCATCTCTGGCTGGAACGGAGACAATATGCTGGAACCAAGTCCCAATGTGAGTCCGCTGTGAGACCCAAAATACGGTGTATGTATGCTCACAGTATTTACAGATAAGGAGTAAGGATTCTGTTCGTCAATTACATTAAAGTATAAAAGAATGTTACGGTAATTGAAATACAACTTGGTGCAACTTTATGTAGCTGTGTTATGAGCTCACAAGCTTAAAAGCAGCAGCCTGTGGGAGGCAGGCGGGCTGGAAAGTTCAGACTAAGGGCCATTTATGATGCCGGGCGGCTTCTGCTCACTGTCTTTGAGCACCTTAATTAACAAAAAGCTTCCATAATATTGAAACGCGGAAATACACAGTAAGGAATCATATTGGGAGCTTTTGCATTCACAAAAACCTTTTCAAAGGCAGTGTGGCTGCTTTTTTATTTAAGAGTCACAGTAAACATCGTAGCTTTCTGTCTCAGATGACCTGGTTCAAGGGCTGGAGGATCAACCGTAAAGATGGAAATGCCTCGGGCACGACACTGCTTGAGGCTCTGGACGCCATCCATCCTCCCACGCGCCCCACCGCCAAGCCCCTCCGCCTGCCTCTGCAGGATGTCTATAAGATTGGAGGTGAGGCAGGCGATGGTGTGGTTGAAGGGTGAAAGGTGTGTGATTGGTTGTATGTATAACAACGTTTTTTTAACAGATTATACCATGAATGTATTTTGGGAATCAGAGCACTGTGTGATAAAAAGAGCAGAACTGAATTAGCTCTGGGAATAATTCCCTCTGGGTCTTTATATCCTTCAGAAACTGACCTTTTTTTCAGAGCACTGTGCAATACAGATGTACCAAGGTGCTGATGTTCCTCTCTGCCAGGCATCGGGACCGTACCAGTGGGCCGAGTAGAGACAGGCGTGCTGAAACCTGCCATGGTGGTGACCTTTGCCCCCGTCAATGTGACGACTGAGGTCAAATCTGTGGAAATGCACCACGAGGCCCTCGACGAGGCGCTGCCCGGTGACAACGTGGGCTTCAACGTCAAGAATGTGTCCGTCAAGGATATTCGCCGTGGCAACGTGGCTGGAGACAGCAGGAACGACCCGCCGCAGGAGGCAGCCAGCTTCACCTCTCAGGTCAGCCTACAGGGGGGGCGGAGCTAATTATACTGACTTTAAACGCCACCGCTGAAGAAAAGGAGCAATTAATGAACCCTTGCTGTTTTCCAGGTGATTATCCTCAACCACCCTGGTCAGATCAGCGCTGGCTACGCCCCCGTGCTGGACTGCCACACTGCACACATTGCATGCAAGTTTGCGGCACTCAAGGAAAAGATCGACCGTCGGTCCGGAAAGAAGCTGGAAGACAACCCCAAGGCTCTGAAGTCTGGAGACGCTGCCATTGTGGACATGATCCCGGGCAAGCCCATGTGTGTGGAGAGCTTCGCTGAGTACCCGCCACTGGGTGAGTTAACCACCATGCAAGCAGGGTTTGTTGTTTCACTCTAATGAAAACATTAAGCCTCACTTCACCGACAATTTGGACCCATAACTTCAAGCAAAAACAACCTTTTTTTTCTCCCCTCAGGGAGGTTTGCGGTCCGCGACATGCGTCAGACTGTGGCAGTGGGAGTGATCAAAGGTGTGGAGAAGAAAGCCATCGGCAGCGGTAAAATCACCAAGTCCGCGCAGAAGGCGCAGAAGGTCAAATGAATGTTGTTCTGGGCCGCCGCCCCTCGTGCTCGTCATTGTGGACGTAGACCCTCAAGCACCCTGCACCTTGTGTACTCAATAGTCAGCGTCTGGTCCATTGTCACAATGCATCGCAAAAGCAGGAGAAGGAAAAAAAAAAAAAAAAAGACTACCAAGTCGTCAAGTGATAAACGCGTCACAACACTGTTGTTTATTCAGTGTCCCTGACTTTGTAAAGAAGCACGACCCATTTGCATCACTGCTGTCTAAATTGTGTGCTGTTGTAGTTGAAGATAAGCTGCTCATTTATTAAGGCGAAACACCAGTAATAATACACTTAGATGAGTGTTTCCTGTTCAACAAGCTTCAGAAACTGTCTGATACTTGGATTCTTAATGCTTTGTGCAGTAGCAGTAGCTCTGTTAAATGTAACTGTTGCAGTTTTAGTTCACTTTAATAATTGTTAAATGTTTGAACGGAAAGTCTTTGTCGCTGGAATCGTTGCTGTCTGTAGAACCTCTCACTTTCACTGAATGATGAGAAAGCAAATGACAAACTCGTCATAGAATTTCCTTTATTGATGAATAAGAATAAAAGTTCACTTGTATTTCCATTTAATTACAGGCTTCATGAATCCAACTGAGGTTATTACAAGTGTGTAAATCTGTGCACATAATTTAAATAAATTAAAAGAAACGAGACAGAATGTTGACGTGTTTTATGCCCTGTAGCAAAATTATCTTGGAATAACAAAAAAAGTGAAATTTCCTTAAATCAGAACATCTACAAAATAAAGGCAGTGCAACAACTATTTCTGTTTAAAGGAACATACTGCACTTTCCTGGAAATTGTAGATATGGAGATGAATATGTACCACAAAAGCAAGGCACCAATATATTGTATGTACTGCACATTTTTAGGTCCTTTTTCTTCTGATGCAATCAAGCTGAACCATACATAGTAATATGTCTTATGGACGTGGCGTTCGTTCTCAGTTATTGATTTGTACTGTATATGACAACCTCTTCATGCAAAATAAATGTAATTATTTGAAAGAAAGTAAAAATACACTAAGCGAATCCACAAAGCAAACTGACCCCAAAATTCCTTCACATATATTCAGTTTTTTTAAATCTTTGTTAAGGTACTGCAAGCTAAAGTTGATTATTCACCACTGAGGCTTTGGATGCATTATTGGTATTATTTAACTGACAATTGTGGTGCCACCTTTATTAACCTGATTCTGTACCATGCAACAGGAATACATTCTGCAGCAAATACACTTGAAGGAAGCAACAATAATCCTACATTACACTGTATGAAAAAAAACATTGACGATGATTTAAATGAGATACCATCATTTTATGTGAAAACAGGGTAACAAAAGGCCAAATGCAATAAACAGTTAAGAGTTCTGAACATTTATTTCAGTGGATCTGTTTTTGAACCAAAACAAAGTACCTTGTCAACTCAATCTGAATAAACATCAAACTGATATTGTGAACCAAGAAATGACATTCAAGATGTGTGTCAATCCACGGCCGTCAGTCAGCTGGAAAACCAACTGGCCGGTGCATAATTGATCAGAGAATCAATTTGTAATAACAGCACCTGGTTCCTTTTCGATGTCTGAACTGTACCCGGATTCCACGGCGTTAATCTGTATCACAATATTTTTTGGATTCTGGTGGCTTTCTGGCATATCAATGTATTTTGTATTTGGCATTACTGGGCCTTTATATAGGTTAATGTTGGCTTGTTTTTTACAGTCAGGAGTAAATAGAATACATATAAAAATATTTAAAGGTCATATACTGAAGGCTCTAGTTAACATAAAATGTGCTCGGCCCCAGGAAATTACAGAACATATGGGGAAATCAGAATGCATAAAATAGTTGTAGAATGTAAACTATTCTTCGTGCAAACTGCAACAAAGACACAATATACTTGAAAATGACACAGCTCAAGCAAATGTCAGGAGTCAAACTGATCCTTTTTACAAACGCAATTGCCAACCTGGAGCTGTAGAAAGTACCCCCCCCCCCAAAAAAACTGTTTTGCCCATATTCAAAAATGGTCAGCAAAAATATAAGAGCTGTCGTATACAACCTAAACTTGTACACCAGGTCCTTGTGTTTGGTATTTTTGAAAAGATTGTGGACAACCAAAGTCATTGGTTTTCTAAAATATTCTGGAAATAAAATAGAAATGGTGTTGTTAAACAAGCCAGTTTGGCAACGACAAGTTGACGTTTCACCTTCAATATTGAAGCCTGTCATGTGATTGAAGAGGCAGGAAGGGGATGTTCTTCGGTCAGATTTAAGAATTAAGCCCCATTTCTTCAATTACTTACAAAAAATGTGAGTTGTGCTCTCGGAGGGAGTGTTTGACGTCCGTGCCTTCCTGCTTTAAGTTTAAATGTATCTTACTACTGTTCCCAGGGTCAGAACCAAAGATGGAGAGGCAGCGTTCTGCTCCACATATCTGGAACACACTTTTGTTTGGAAGCTGGAGGTCTGCTGAGACGCTCAGCTGCTTCAAATTAGAACTAAAGACATTTCGGTTTGCTGCTGCTTTTAATTAAACCAGATTCATGGATGAAGTGCATGTTTTTGACTGTTAGGGTCATAAACTGCACTGCAATTTTAATGTTTTTTATTCTTTTTGTTTATTGTTTTATGTCTGTTTTTTACTTTTTTACGTTGTTTTTAAATGTCATTTTCTGTCATTTCTGCCTGATGTTTGAATGGTTTTATGTGCAGCACTTTGAATTGCCATGTTGTTAAAATGTGCTACACAAATAAACCTTACTTACTGACGTCAGTATCTTTAAATACAAACATGCAATGCCTCATCTTTTATCTCCAATTTCCAAATCACAGTTTAAAACAAACCATATAGCAATCACATGCCATATGATCAGTCTGTATGAAAATACCGTGACTCCTATCAAATGGATCGACATGAAATCAAAAAAAAAAAGTTATAATCCCACGCTCCCACTCTCCTCCCAAAAATACAAAAAAAACGGTCTCTGTGAGATGTGCCTTCAGACATTAAGGCAAGTTTTATTTTAGCCGCACATGCGGCAAGTTCAGCAATTTGGCGCTGCCAGCAGAGGGCGAGGACGTGGGACCGCTGGCCAGGCTACGGTTAGAGCCTTGAGAACCTGTCCCTTCCATGTTGTCAGCCATCAGGAGCTCTGATGAGAAGGTGCTGGCCTCAGTGGTCCCCAGTGACAAGAAGTCAAATCCCTGCGCCTCCAGGTCCCTGTCGCTGATAAAGAGGTCCTCCTCACCCCATCCCTCTCCACCGCTCCTTCCAATGCCACCACCTCCCCCGGGGTCTTGGCTACAGCTGTGGAAGTCAATAGGGGAGTCACAGCTTGTACTGGGGTTTGGAGATGAGATGCTGTGTGTGTGGAGGACATCCTGGACACTCCCTGGAGCTGCCTGCATCAGGTCCTGCACTGACATGGACTTGCCCAAGCAGTTCGTCTGGCTGGGACCCGAGCAGCATCCCAGGGCTGGCGCCACCAGGGGGTGCAGCTCCAGGCTCATATGTCTCCTCCAGGAGCCTTCCTCCTTAGCCGAAGGCCTGCAGTTGCTGTTGGTGCTGCTCTGTGACTTTTGGCCCGATCTGCCAGGCCCAAACTCAAGGTCCTTCCCAAAACTTCTACCCTCCATCTGCATTCTTAAACTTCCACCAAAGTCGTCCATGTAAGGGGACACCCCTGTGGAGGTTTTGTGCGGCAGGTTGGTTGGGCCCAGGCTCCGGCCGGGAGGGGGTGGTGGTGGAAGCCTCGCCAGAAGAGGAAACGCCCCATCTCCAACTCCTCCACCAATACCAATACTATTTGGGGTGAGAATGGGTGGAGATCTCCCCACAGCCTCATCGGTGCCACTTTCAGGTGTCATGACCTGAGCTTGGCTATGATGATGGTGGAGGTGATGAGCATGACGATGTTGGTGATGATGATGTTGAGGCAGCGGCGACGGGCTGAAAGGGGAAGATGGGAGGCCCGTGGATGGGGAGGTATTGAGATTGAGGTTGAGCTCGTTGGGAGGCGCGAGGATGAGATGGAGGCCTCCCTGTGAGAGGTGAGAGTTGCTACCAGGGGGAAGGGCTGCGTTGCTGCTGGCCTGAGTCGAGCTGGACAGGTCCTTTCCAAAGACGGAGGAGTGGTAGTCAGAGGTTTGCTCCAACTCGAACAGGGGCAGAGAGGAGAGTGTGAGGGCTGAAGAAGCTCCTTTGCGCAAAACCTGACGATAGATGTCGAGCAGGGAGTCAAGCTTTGACTCAATGGACTGGACCTGTGGGGAGGGAAAGGGAGGATGGGAGATGAGAAAGCAGGAGCTTCTGTATGGGATAATAACCTTTTCAAACTATTCCGGTGGAACAACGGGCGTGGTTTGTAAAGGTATCAAACAAAAAAAGTGTCATTTTTGGTTGCAGGGTTACATGCTGCTAATTCTGGTGAAACAAGAGCTGATTTTGCCATCATCCCAATATACTAATTCTCTGGACATTACACAACAGGGAAGCAGATATAATATTTTCAATAAAGAAAACACACACCTGCCGCTCCACCTTACAGACTCGACCAAACATGCTCATGTCCTCCAAAATGTCTCCATCAGACAGCAGCTTTTCTCGGATCTTCTTATCCAAAGGTATTTGACCTCTTCCGAGGATTTGGTCCACTCTGTAATAAACACAAATACACAAACACACAAGCAAACAAAATTAGACATTAATGATTGAAAGAAAAACAGCGATTTCTAGAAGTAGAAATCAACCATGCGATCCAAACAAACAGGGAAACGTTGAGACTGCAGGAGGAAAAGGTTTTGGCTCGGCTGTGGGTCAGTGGGCCTACAATCATGTCCAACCTGTGATGCAACATACACACACACACACACACACACACACACAGGCAAACAAACACACACAGAGAGACAACATACATACATATACCCCAATGCATGTATAAAGTATGCGTGCAGGTGAACGTATACATCCACACATACGTGCATGCACAAACAAACCAAGACACAGAAGAATCAGTTTGTGTGTTCCTAAACGGCTCTAGATGGACAGCAAAGACTTGATGAATGACGTCTTCCAGCTGTTGTTGTCCAGCATTATGTGTAGTCTGTCTTCCTACCTGGTCTGCAGGCTCTTGATGCGACACAGCATGTCCAAGTGACCGGCAGAATATTGTTCAATCACATCCTTGACATCGTAAGGACGCAGGGTCTCCTTAAACTTCTTCTTGGCAACATGGAACTTCATTATCCTGCACACAGCCAAGGTGAATTCATCAGCCACAAGGAGGAGCTCTTATACAGTCAGTTTACACGTGGTCTGCTGTGATTGTCCAGAAGCTGAGAGATTATTTTGTAAGAATTGTAGCAATTGAAAATAGACCAAACCGCACATTTATTTTACTTTAAAAATGATTTCATTACACAAATGGAAACAGGTCAGAACACCTGAACAATCACTTAAACATTATAAAAACACCCACTGAGGTTGTGGCTGATTATTTTAGCTGCAGAAATGTAAAACTAACATAACGAAGAAAAAAAACCCACTCTGAATTTGTGCACATCATTTAAAAATCCCCAAAAAATTTGACTGAGTGTGTTCGTTTGAGAAGAAGAAATCCGCGAGGACTGCGAGAAATCCAGCTAAGCCCGGCTCAAAATGTTAAGGATTTAAACAAAGGAGACTTACCTGAGTGCTCTAATGACAGACTTCACAGAGGGCAGCAGGTCCTGCACAGACATCTCGCAGTGACAGCCTCTCTCATCGTAGCTATCCTCCCCTGCCATGTTGGAGTCTGCTGCTCGTGCGAGGGTACAAAGGAGGGAGATCAATTCAGCAGTGTTCATTGATAAGAACACAGTACGTGCCCAGCCATATTTTACATGGATGCATACAATAGTGATGCAGGGACTTAGTCGTACTACTCCGAAACCTCAGCAGTCAGTGACCAGATTTGTCTAATTGATTTCAGTCTTAGTAGAAAGTAGAAAAGGGACATTTTTAATCATAAAATTGTGGTAATATTTCAGTAACAAGAGCAAAAAAAGCAAAAAAACAACGCAATTCCTTCCTCCATGTGTTTTGAGCTGGTCTAAAACACTACTATGTAGTACACAGAGTAGTAGTAAAGAACAGGCCTCTGGTGTACCTGCAAATATATTGCTCACAATGCAACCTTTTGACAATGCCTCTCTCTGTTTATGGGCCTTCTGAGTTACGACACCTGGAGGAGGTACACACAGAGCTACAGAACAGGAGCTGGACTGCAGGGTCGAGCCATTTGCTCGGTTTAATGAAATGCTTTAAAAGGCCTCTCGATAGAGCGCAGTGTGTTATGTGTGTGATACAGGAGTAAAAGCTACCTGATGAAAATCTAAAACAGTAGCGATTAATGGATTAATGATTTGCTCCATTAAACAAAACAAGCCTTATTCATATAACCCTCTGTTAACATCTCAATTAGCAAACATGTTGGTGACAGTAATTTTCTCCGAAAGAACCGGCCAATCACTTTGGTTTCGGCTAGCTGGGTCATTTATTCCTCCGTCTCCAGCAGCAGGCCTCAGCCAGCTGGCGGCTCCTGAGGCCCTCGTGGCTGCTGGAGTTCAACAGACCCACCTTCCATCAATCTATCAGTCCGCCAACCACAACAACCGACTGGCCCGTTACCCGGGGGGGGTTAGCCAGGCCGGCAGAGGCAAGGCCGAATGTAAGCACAAATAACCATTAGCATTCCCCAACTCATTGGCCTGAATTAGTGGCCGCAATGAGTTGTTGTGGGTTGGATGGTCAATAAATAAACCTCTACTGAGGGGCTTCACTTATCTCATAATTGGACTTGAAGGAATTGTTTGACATTACTTATTCTCTTTCTTGCTGAGAGCTGGATTAGAGGGATTTCATTTATGTTTGTCAATATGAAGTCAAAGCCACAGAACAGTCAGCGTAGAATAAAAGCACGGGGAAACTCGTCTCGGTCCAAAGAATGTCAGCACTATACTATAGTTATTTAACAAACTGGCAACCTCACAGTGACAATAGTCAGTTTAAGTGCCCGATCAACAAAAAGCATAGCACATAAAACCACAACTTTCCATTTTATTTTACAAGCTTTAAGGGCCCGTTAATGAGCTCCCAGCTAACGCTGGTGGAGGCAGGAGAGTAAACACACGCAAGATTTTCTAAACGTCAAGCTATTCTTTAAGATTTGTATGATTTCAGCGTTTAACCTTAATCAAAAAGCTTTTTCCATCTTGTTTAAAGGTAACACTGTGTTGAGTACCGCATGTGCGAGAGTGACAATGAATCTTACCCGCCATGAAAGGGCTGCTGATCAGTCCATAACTAAGCTCAACCGTGTCTGGAAATGGAATAATGGGACAGCGTCACTCACCGTCGGTGGTCGAGCGTGACTGGCTCTTAAGGCGCAGGGAGGGTCTGAAGCGCGTGCGGTCGTTGAAGCTCCAGCTCTTCTGTACCTTGGCAGGGCTGGTGCCATCCGTCCCCGCCTCGGCCACCGGAGACCGCCGGTCGTTCACCGAAGACGTCTGCCTGTTCTTGATGCTCTGACCTCGGGGGCTCGCCATCCTCACGCGCTCTTTGAAGCTCAACTTCTGACTGCGGGGCGAAACGGGGGGGACGAATGAACAGCGGGCGGGAGGGGAAGAGTAAGAAGGGAATGATGTTGTGAAGAGGTGGAATGACATGAATTTATGTTAAAGTCGAAAGTTTAGGTGAAACAACGTAAAGCATCCGAGCTCATGGCATGATGCTGTTCCTTTACACAATCGTGTCATGTAATCATCCAGGACTTGACCTTCTACTATGAAGCTGAGGGGCTGCAGGACAAGATGGAGAAGACCAGCATGCATTTGCAGCATTGCAGCACATGCTTTACACAAAATGCAGGCTCAGGTTAGGTATGTCAACACTGTGTTGTGTAGGTTGTTTCTTGATGTGAATCTATCCACCGCATTAGCTACAGTACATCATTCAATATGACCAAATATGTAGCAAGTTGCAAAACAAAAATTGATGTTGTAACGTCATGTTAAATGGTGACATTTTGTATCTTTCATTTAAGTTGGTATTGTAACATGCCTTTTAACCACACAAATCCCCATGTAACGCTAAAGGATTTATTGGGACAACTCAGGAAAAGTGAGGTCATGAAAGAGAAAGTGAAGGTACGGGCCATTAGAAGAAGAGGAGGTAGGGGAGTTGCTGATTTTGTAATTGTGCATCTTTATATAATGCCTGCTTGAAAAAGCAGTGCGCAAGCATCAGGTGTGGCTCTTTAGGTGAGTTTGAGTAGTTTAATAATATGGAGTATAACTTGATTCTGGCCACAGAGAAACATGACGTGTTTGGATGACCTACGATACGAGGAGTACAGTGTGATAAGTAGTTGGGATGTAACACCAGCAAGAAAAACACAATGTTAATCCATCAAGTAAATTATTCTACATTCAGTCTTTTTTCAAAGGGGATCTGCTACTTACAATACTGGTACACATATTCGGAGAGCAAATGTTGTTAAAACGGAAATCACAAGAGGCAGAAGTATGCGCATTGCTCAGGCAAAGATCAAACAAAAGGCAGATAGCGTATTGCCACCAAGGTGACTGATGTCTCTCCCTGCAACGTTCAATTACTCTGCCCCCTCCGAGGCTGCGGAGCCTCCTACAGATACCCATGCACCAAGAATTAGTCAGCATTCTCAAATAAAAGCTCATATAACACGGGAGCAGAAGCGCTGTGTACCTATGTTTCCATGTGGTAAGCCTCCTCAGCAGCTTCTGTTTATTACTATGACTTTTACTAAAAAACCAAGGGGAGACATACGGGGATGTGTTACATGATGAAGAAACAAAGTAGAAATATTTAACTCTGAAAGTTTTGAAATAGAGTGTTTCTGTACCCTTATTTCCCCTTGTATTTTTCTGTTGTAGCCAGATGCATAAATGCAAATATTCTTTATAATCTTGTATGTAGGAAGGCTACAAAATATGAGGTAATACTGAGGTTCTGCTTCCGTTGCCACTGATATTTAGAAGCAGCAGAATGGAGGCAATTCAGCTTAGTGGAGGAAAATGAACATCGACAGCACCGTTTAAAAAAGGCTGCAATTTGGTGACTCACGCACTTCGTGCTGATACCACTAATCCAGCAATGTCGATTCAGATGGGCAATGCGAACGAGTCACCAGTGTCAGATCAGTAACCTTTCGACGGACGCTTGTGGGCTCACAGAGGGCATTAAGAAACAGAAGTGTTCTTATTTTTCATGTCATTTTTTTCTCCTATTGCTGCGTTTTATAACTGTGCTTCTGTTATGTAATGCTTTGAAGATTAATATATAAATCGAGATGCTAAATAAAGGGAGTCAGCTCCAGTTGTGGCCCCGTGTGGCTTTAAATCTCCTCCCCTGCTCTGCAGTGGAAAGGTAAATAGATTTAGGGGCTTGCAAAAACAAAATCATAGGTGGAGGCTGGAGGTCTCCTGCCTGCCTCAATCTGCTTAATTTGGTTATTTACTTTTTATATTCTTAGGCTTCCTCTCTAACTCTAAGTTTGCCTACAGAGTCCTGTGGTAGTTTACAGACGTACGTTTATTCAGGGTTTCAAATATGAAATTAGCCCTTCCTGCCCTACATGTGGCATTAGCTAAAATACATCCCTAAGAATTTTTTGAATACAGACTCAAAACTAAATATAATTTCTTATCAGAATATAAATACCTGAGACAACAGGCATTTGCATGTCGTTATGCCTACGACTACTTCATTTGAGATTATTATTTTTTTGAGAGGAGAATAAATGATAAAAAAAAGATAGAGAATAGAACCAAACCAGAAGATGACACAATGAGTCATACACAGGGCTAGCGTAAGGGTCGCCATCGCAGGGTCAACATTTCATTACGGGCCGCCTCTAGCACGACCGGACGCTCTCTAACCGAGTGCTGTTCAAATACAAGTGGAACCACGAGGGTCTTTGTGTTTGTAATGCTTGAAGTTATTCCACAAAGAGGGCTGGAGGTTGTTTGGACAAAATGTTGTACTACTTGCAACACAATAGCTTCAGTTCTGCTACGAAAGTTCCTTTAAACCTGCACCATTGAGTATTTTTATAATAACAGCAAAAATAATGACAATGTGTAAAGATGAAGTGGTCCAACCAACAAAGAAATATTATCCGATCATTTAACTTGGTTTGGGTTTGATAGGCAACAACTTTACTGCTTTAGTTTGCTCAAACCTGTTTAATTGTCCTCAGCAACACAACAGAGTAAAATGCTCTACAAGGTGACAGTGTGTTATGCGTACAGCTTGTTGCACTGCCCTCCTACTGGTATATATTGACAAAAAGCAATATATTCAGGTTCAAGGAATGTAATCATGTGCTTCTACAAAGATTTTGTTTTAACAAGTCAAACTTCTCAAATGGTTATTCTTGAATAACCTTTCCAAAACAATTAACATAAAACTTAATCAAGAAATACAAACGTTTTGTACTGTTTGTCATTTTCAGTCTAAAAAGTATTAAGAGTCAAACCCAGCCCGGTTCCACCTAACTGAGACCGTGTTTGTTCAGTAGTTACAAACCTTGTGGTTGACTCTCCCGCCTCCTTCCTGGGGTTGGAAAATGAGAAGAAGAAAAAAAAATATTAGCATCTTTTCATCATACAGTGTCAACTGTGTCTGAAGGACCAGACCAGTGGTTCCGCTTATTTTAGCTGATTTATTACAAGTTACATAGACCTTAAATTAGAGCTAAGCATGTTGACAAACTGAGTAATGTACATTTGAACAACTCTTTCCCTTTTACTTTTGAACAATATAAGAATCAATAAGCAGACTCTTAATAGCTGAGAACGCAATGTTGAATACCCATTCTGGATTGTTTTGTCAGAGAGTTTTTGTCAAAGTAGCAATACATTTGTGAGTAGAACAATAATAGTCAATAGAAATTATGGAAATCAATGGATGCCCAAATAAAGAAAAGTATTTGAATAGCTTGCATTTTAAAAAAAATAGACATACTGTACATGATTTATAGTTAAGAAGCTAAAACTCGGCGGTAGGGTCCACTTCATCAGCACAGTGGAAAGAGTTCATTAACAAGATTTCAGGGTAGCGATTCCTCATTCAGCAATAAGCATTCCAAGGGAAATAGACCAGGACAAACCGGAAAGCTCACTATAAATATGCAGCGTCAAGATAAACTAAGGAAGCGCCTGCAACCAGAGATGGTGACTGAGGATCGGCTGAGGAACAGTAATCACTTTAAGCTGTGTCTTCCAATAACTCTGTGACTGCATGATGTAAGCAGGATATAAGCCATGGAGATTGTTTTCACAATATTTCCAGGCTTCTGAGAAACGAGTGTGGACACACATGGGGGTAAAAAAAGAAAAAGAAAATGGGAATGAATACTTAATTGGTACTTTATTCTAACTGTTTGATTCACAAAATAATGGTCGGAAAATGTCCAATATGCAAGGAAGGGATTGAAGAGTTAGCTAGCATGTATTGATCTGGTCACAGCCGTGGGTTTGAATAAGTGCTGGTTTTACACAGAAAATGGTAGCAACACTGGTGGTTGGTATGTTGAGATGGAGAGCAGCAGAAACTTTAGGCGGCTCTTTCTCACTTTTAGTATGTTAGTTACGAGCGCTGACAGATGTGTTTCAAAGAGAGAGGTGTAGTTTTAGGATTGGATTTTGCAGTTTGTCCGACCCCCTGCTGTGTGAGGACTGTCTCTAGTGATCCAAACTGATTCTTCTTCCAAATCCACTGACCGGCTGAATTTATGAGCCGGATAGTCGGAAGTCTTTTTCCCAAGCCACTAAGCTCCCAATAACTAGTTAACTAATATTCATGATATGAATATGGCTTCAAGCTGTGTATGGATATAATATATGAAGCAGATTTAACGTGATCAGCTTTCTGCAACCCTAACAACATTTACAATCAACAGGGATGATGAGGCGGAGAGGCGAATACACCCAACACCTCAATTTAGGAAACAAAAAGAGTACACGAGAGCTTTTAATGCTTCCTTTTTGTTAGGTATCTTTGAGAGTACCGCTAAATCACTCGGAGCATCAGTGCTAAAATTAAGGGGACTTAAGTGCAGCAAATTAAAAATGTCATTGAGGGAACAAAAGTTACTCATATAATGCTACCTGCATTATATTGTCGACTGCATTGAGGACTCAACTGAGAGCCTGACTGCAATGTGGATGTATGAAATGGAGGTTTATATAATAGCAGAAAAAAATGCGAAAAGTTCGATGTTTTTGTTATTTTGATATTAACAGAGCCTGGAAACTATATTTTTTGCCGTGAACTAATTGGCCATCAAAATAATAATTAGAAAATCAATGCAAAATAAAGAGGTCAACACAAATGCATCCATCAAGAGAAAGAAAACGCAAAACAGTTGAATTATTATTTTAAAAAGATAACTTTAGAAACGTGGTTTAAGTGGCACCGCATACAGACAGCAGTTGCCAGTTGTACCTACTTTGTAGGGCTGCAGGTATGCAACGCCTTCAAGTGAGGCTTCCAGGTAGCAATGGAAACCGAGTTCTCATCAGCCGCGTAACTACGCCAAACACACTGCATGCAGAATACACAAAACCACAAAGAAGAAAAAAGCACAAAGAGAAAAAAGGGAGGTTAAAAAAAGTAAATAAATACATGACAGAGAAGGTACGGGAGGATGAGGAGAATAGAAAACAAATTTAAAAAAGCTAATTGAAAACTCAAAGAACAGGTGTGTCCCAGGTCTGTGGTCGGCATGGATACATGGACCTGTTAAGAGGTCAGGAGGCTTTTATAGGGCCGCCAAGTGGCGTCCAGGTAGGGCCTGGTGCTGTCGGTGGAGTAACAACGCCACGCAGCCTCGTACAACATGGGGATGGAAAGGATGGAGAGGAGAGAAGAAAAGGTGGAGTACAAGTGAAGGGGGGATGGGTACATGAGAAGGGAGATAAGGATGGAAGGGGGGAACCAAAGAGGGAGAAAATGACAAAGCGTGAAGGAGGAAAGTTGGTGAGAGGAAAATAAGGAAGTGCACAGAGAGATGTAGGAGAAGGACAATGTGAAGTCAGCACCAATAAAATGCAATGTGTGATGCACATGGGGAGAGGAATGGCAATAATGGGTTTGCCAACCTGGTGTTTCTTGGCTTAAAAACAAGTCTGAGTTTAGAGAGCTTCTTGCAATGTGAGAATCACGGGGCCAATGGGCCCTTCAGAGTGATGCTACATGTTACAGGCTTTTTATTGGTTGAGACAGGACAATTAGAAACAAGAAACTGAAAAATGAAAAAATCTTCAAAGACATTTTGTATTGATGATTTGGTGTTTAAATAACAGCAACAACTCATTAAAACAACATTTGTTTTGAATAGTCCAAAGACAGTAATGCTTTACCTGGATGAGGTAGGCGGCTGGGTTTCTCCTTTTCTCAAAGTGCTTCTGTCTGTGCTGTTCCTGAACCTTCAGGGCAAAGCCTGAGCCCAAAATACCCTGGTACGATATTGAAAGGATTAAATACTGAATGTGAGTGTACACCAAAGACTGTCCACTATCACGCCCTTTGTGAGTGGGTGAAAAATGTCTTACCTTGCTGTGTAAATAACTTACAGCGAGTTAAACACAACGTGTTATGTCAAAATAAAACGTAAACGTCTTTATTCATTGACTCTTAAAAAAAGGAAGGGTTTACTTACAGCGGGCAAGGCAAAGAAGGAGATTCCCAGGAGGGCAAACCCAGCGGACAACATCCGTCCCGTCCACGTCTTTGGGGTCTTGTCTCCATAACCAATGGTTGTCAATGTGATCTGTGATAACATAATTCATCATCACGTCCTGAAGGATCAGAATGAGGCTTTTGCAGAAGAAAAACATACAAGTATAAGCTTTACTTTTACAAGCTTTATTAGACAAAGTCGGGTAATTAGTTACAGCCATATGCTAGCTATAGAGCTTATAGTCTTTCTTGGCTTGCTTAAATTAATTAGTTTATGAAGAAACATTAACCATTCTTCATTTGGTCAAGTATCTATAAAGTATTAGTGAATGATTCTAAAAATAAAAACTAAATTCCACTCAGGTGCATATAATTGAGCTTTTCTTTAAGAGGGTTGAACTCGATGTGTCAGTATACTTTTAAATTACATGAATTATTCATAATTAGTCCAACTAACCCCTTAGTATTTGCCTTCTTTAAATATTTTTGAGTTTTGCATCTTGGTCTGGTGTAACTGTATTAATACGGATATACTGGTTAGTTTGCATAATGCTTGAGCTTGCCACACAGAGGCTTGTTTTAAAATGATGCCTTCAGGCAGCACAGTACAAGTGATTGGACTTGTGTAGAGGCCCTTATGGGAACGAGTCTGTACAGTACGGCCTTGATTCGAAGAACAATGATAAAAGCCTCTGGCTGAAATGTTTATTCAGCCTAGAAAAATGTTGAAGCACTGTGAGGTGCTTTTTTTTGTATTTTTGCCCTCATTTATGTGTGAAGTGCTACATAAATGATCGGTGAAAACACAATGAGAAGGCGGTTATAGAATACTTACATCTTTGACTGATTGCATTGAACATAATTCAGTCAAAGAATATGGATTCTTAGTAATGAGGGTACCTCCATCTGAACAGAGCTATTCAAATGTCTTCAGTTATACCAAGAAAATAGGAATTTAATCACTAAATAAACCTGCCTGTGGTCTGGAATTTGCATTGGTGGCCAAACTCCTTGCTTGCTTTCATTAATATCTATCCATCCATCCATTTCTCTATCTCTATATTGCTTCCTTTTGGCAGTCTGATGAGTTTAGGTTCTCTTTCATTTAGACTCTTACTGCTTTGAATGACAAGACGGCTACGACCTTTTGGTATCATTGTGATTTTTGGAGCTGGTATGGAAATGTTGGTCAATGGAGCTTTGCATGGCTTATGTTTATGGATGAGCTTTCAAATGCTCGAGGCAAAGATAAATCCAATTGAAAAAAAAACATTACCGTCCAATGCAGGACGTATTTGTTTGAAGAGGTAGCAGCGCTGATTAGTAAGAGGTGTAACTGTGAAGAAACCCAGAAATGCATTCTACAAATTCAAGAGATGTTGACATGAATTGGAAGTGGAATGAAACTGATTTGGCAGCTGTTAAATCTTCATATTAATCTTAAATTTCTTATTTCAATGTTAAGATGTAAGCCATATTGCCAAGAGAATTGATTTGATGCTGTTGTTTCATTCCTCCTGATGCGAGATGCAAAAGAAGCACAGGAAGATGCTTTTTTTGTTGTTTATCAGGTTTATCCTGCATAGAAAAAAAGTTTACAACTGCACGTCTTTGTTTAACCCTGTGTGGCACAATGATGATACATGATCCTTAAATTAGGAGATATTCCTAAAAACTCACCGTGCCCCACCACAAAGCATCAGCGTAGGTAGCAAAGTCCTTGTTGAACTTGTTCTCAACAAGGTAGACGAGGAATGAAGAGAAGATGAGAACCAAGAAGCCGATGTACCAGGCGGTTACCAGTTCCTGCAGGCAGACACTCATTCTAGTAAATACATTTTTTGTATAAACAGTTCTACCTCACTTCATTCAATGTAGCAAAGGTTGCACATAGGCCTCTGTGGCAGCTCACCTTGCTGTGTGCGTAAACCACAGAGCCCAGCAGCTTCCAGGTGCCTCCTCTTCTGTCCATCCGCACCATGCGCAGGATCTGCAGGAAACGGAGGCTCCGCAGCACCGAGGTGGCAAAGATGTTGCCCTGACTACCCGCCGAGACCACCGCCACCGACGCAATCAGTACTATGATGTCTGAAGGGCAGAGAAGATACATGAGCAAGGGAGAACGATAACTTGCTACAACTCAACCCTGGAAAACAAAATACAGTACAGTATATCGTGATGAACATACATTTAAATCTTATGAATTTGTATATTTAACTTGGATGGATTTTTTTTTAGACCATGACTTCCCTTAATGTGCTGTGTTATTTTGTAAAGGTATGATTAAAGCTCTCTTCCTGCAATTTTTTTTCCCCCACTCGCAATCCTTAATTTTAGGATCTTTGTGTAAATGTGTGTTTTTTTTAAATGTCTTGAAAAACATATTCTGAAGCTTCTATTCTATTGTTCTGGTTATTTCGAATCACAGATCTGAAATGATCAAGATCTCAACACAGCCTGCCAGTAGGATACAACAACGTCTGCAAATTTCACTTCCCATCAGCTCGCGTCAATCCACTAAACCTGCTTTTGAATAAAGGTGCTGACCGATCTGTGTTAAATGGCTTCTCTTCTGAGAAGTCTACGAGACAGTGGGCAGACCCAGAGTGTGAAAAGGGAAAAGTCAGCAATAGCGCCGTGAACAATGCATTAATGACACCCAGGAGATGAGTCTCCGGGACACCCACAGGAGACTTCATGTGTATGTAAGTACTGTACAGGATGAAATACCGTTCAGAAGTCTATAGGAGTCCTTCCAGACATCCAACTCAAGCCAATTAAGCTTTTGTGGCTTGCGACTTTAAACTTTGAACCACAGTGATGTCATCACCATCTCAACTTGCTCAAATACAGTTACATTGTTTTATGCAGGAAGAGGTTACGCAATGCAGAAAGAGGCACAAATAAGGATAAATAAATCCGTTGAAAGCACTGTCACAAAAAATTTGGCCCCTAATCTCTTAAGCACCCGAATATTTGTGTTTTTATTGAAGGTGTACACACATCATTACATCATTTTTGTAACCATTTAACCGGATTCTGTTTGCCAATGGGTCTGTATCACCTTGAAAAGACAACAACAAAAAACACAACAATACGTTTATAATGTGAAAAACTAAGTGCTTATTCATTTATTCAGGATTTTCAACCGTAACACACAGGGCTTATTTATGTAGATAATGGAAAAGGCTCAGGTGTCTTCATGTGACCTACATGTGGAGCACTATCCAGCAGTAATTCAACTTCATCCATTCACAGACGAGGACTATGAGATTTGGTTAAAAGCACCGACAAAGGGTAATACGTGAACCTTGAGTTCTACTGATGTAATTTCTAAATAAGATAACAAATGTAATACAATCGATTAGGGAAAAAACATTAGAAAGTACAATTCCGACCATCTCATATATAGAATCCTCATAACATATCATAACATCCTCTTTGATCCTCTGATTACTGGTTAAATAGAACACAGAGAAAGCTAAATGTCAAAGCCACGAATGCATGACAGGACGGATCATCACGTCTCCTACTTAACTTTCTCATCCCGTATTACTCAGTGTTCAACTTATTCCTCACTCCCGTGATCTCTCTTACTTTTTTAGGCTCTATTTCACACTCCTTGCCTCCGTCTCTTACTTTATTATTTTTTACGCTCATATTCCCTCAGTGCTGGCAAACTACAGCACCCACTACGCTGCGTGTGCTCGAGGCACCCTGCGTGACGTCTACGCCCTCCTCTCCCTCCCCGAAGCCTCCCGCTCTAGTTTCCAAGAAGGAGCAGAGGGAACCGACAGTGGAAAGAATAAAAGTCAGTAAATGCAACCTCATTACGGAAATGCTCTCTGCTCTCATGAGCTCTGACCACAACTATAATGACACGAGAACACTGTGATCAATCGCGTGCAGGGGAACAGTGCTCACGTCCAATATCCGACTGCATTCACAAAGGGCACAACTGAGGTTCAATAAACGGGAAGTGAAGGTAAAGGCAACGAAGAGTACAGTGAAGAAAAGCAAATGGTGCTTTGATTCAGAATACTTTTTTCTATTTCGGGGTTTGGGTGGTGGGGGTTATCTGTATCTGCTGCCTCAAAAGCAGAGTGAACAAAAAGGTGTGATTCGAAAACTCGCCTATGACGCAGAAAGGCTTCCTGGCAAAGCGGAGTCGTCCCTGCCATCCTCTGTAGCGACAGCAGCATCCCGCCGACCAGATACGGATGATGTATTCCAACCCAAACACGACGATCATCACAAACTCCTGTTCAAAAACACACAGAAAACAATTGTTGCCTTGCCGGGATGTCAATGGTAATGACCTTCAACATTCAGCATGCCTTTTCCTTTTCAGGGATTCTCTAAAAAACTGATATTTCACCAAGATTTTCAGGGCTTAGCAGTACACACTTCAGCAAGATCTGTGACGGTTTCAGCCGTCAGCGTTGTGTTGGTTACCAGAATAAGGAGACAATAGGACGAGAAGTCCTGATGAGCTGGGATGGTTGAGAACACAGAGAGGACCAGGCAGCTGAAGACCAAGACGAACCTGAACAGAGCAACAGAAAAGACAAAAAAAGGGAAGAATGGTAAATACAACATATGCAAGAAAACTAGATTCTTTGAAGATGACATCAAGAGCCTGACCTCTGAAATAACCACACTGACCGGCAAATTCCAAATGATCGTTTTCACTGGTCAGAAAAATGCCGTTGATCATAGCAAAGTGCACTAAAGTGGAATCCACCGCTGCATTTTCCTGTGTCAAACTCTTGAACCCATTCTGGCAATAAAGTTTGAGCAGAACACGAACAACCTGGCAGCAAAACCGCAGAACCCATTTCCTCTCTGCAGTGAACCAGCTATTATTCAATATCCTGAGATATCAAGTTAATCAGGCTTGTTTGTGTAACACGATTTGCAAGAAATAAGCAGTGAAACCGCGGCTATTGGAAAACAAACTGAAAACGACCAGTTCCACACTCCGAACGTCGCTCCCTCTGCCAGGAAACCGTAACTTACCATCTTCATAACCAGAGCATGTTGTTTTCCATCACATAGATCCTCCAAAAACACGTCACTGGCTGAAACGGCAGCATGGAGTTAGGGTGGCTTTTGATGCTGAACGGGGAGAGCACATCTGTGTTTTATCATCCGTGATCTCCTCGTAGGCCTCTCGGAGAAAGACTGACATGCTTTTTTGCAGGCTTTCAGAGAGCAGACAGTTCCTGCAGACAGCAACCTCTAACCTTTATGCATCTTCATTCTTTGAGAAACATTCAGTTGTAAAGATCACTCCCAGGGAACCGGTGTCCCAACAGTATGAGCCGGCCTAATCTCTTCAAAAACACGTTTTATGGAAAATGTGTTTTTTGTCCTGAGCAAATACTGTTTGAAAGAAGCCTGCGTGAAAATAGTAAGTATGCAGAGTGGGCCAGTGTCCTTACGGTGTAGCACACAACTGTGCCGCTCTGACCTCAGTCAGCCCCTCTTCGACATCCAGAGGCACAATGGAGGTCAACACTTTCCACAGCCATCTGGATGATTATGTCCTTTTTTTCTCAACCCATATGTTCTCATCTGGCTCGGTCGTTTGGCTGAGAGCTATTGCTGGTCCGGGTGTAGCAGAAGTGTTAAGCATCAAAAGTTTGAAGTTTGCTACGTTGACATTTCCAAGGTTTGAATAATGTGAATTTGATTTTGGAGAAAAACATCCAGTGACAATTATTGTGGCGCTGTCATCGGAACAGCAAGCTCCTTGTCACCGCCACACTTACGCCTCTCACACATGCAAGGTTGTCAGACCGAAAAATACAAGAGTGGCAATCAACTCCATAGCCAAATATGTTTTGATTTTGAATATATTTACTCTAGAAGTGGGTAGAGAATAACTGAAAACCCTGGCAGCACTATTAAGCTCTCAACCAAGTTTACTAATTCGTTTGAAAAACTAGTGTTCTCAGGCGGCCTTGTGTGTCCTCATGCCCTGTGCTCATAGGCTGCAGAATTAATCTGAAGTGTCTCGCGCCACACTTGCAGCAGAGTGATCGCGCTTAACCTTCCAATTAGCCACTGCTGAATATGAAGAAGGCTAATACACACACACACACACACACACACACACACACACACACTCACAATGGCAACACGGAGACATCAGTCCTTCCACCTACTCATCCAATTACCTCTTCCGAATGCATCCTCAACCTTCCTTCACTCAGTTCTAAACCGAACCACTGAACAAGGGGTAAGTGCTGCTCTGATTTGCATAATCAAATTAATATATTTGACAGGAAAACTGCATGTAGGCATTGTTACATTTAAATAAAGTGCCGTCTATGCAATGTATCTGGGACATGCAGCCGTAGCTAGTTTGCCAATTTCTTCTCCCTGGTAAGGCTTTTAAGAAACAAAGTATATGTTTTGATGGATTTAATTTATTTGTTTTGAAAAAGGGTTGCAGTTTTAAGACTAATGTCCTCACACTGTGTGATTTCCAATTCTATTGGTTGATAAAGAACATATGAAAGGCAACTGGGTACAGAGGCAGACCCAGAGTATTTATAATTAATTGTGTCACAGTGCATTAATAGATGAATAATGCTGCAAAATCAAATTGTTGTCTCAAATTGTATTACAAAGGAAGATCTCCCTTACATAGACACAGACGGATGCTGTCCATGGTCCTGAAAACAACTCTCCGGGAGGAAGATATTGGCTGCACAATAATAATTACAATATCTTTTAAACAAATCGAAAACTAGTATAAAACTATCTATTTATCTTGTAGGCTGAGGCCTTAACATTGGCGTCAATGCCGCCGTTTCCTGTGTGCCATCAATCCTTTCTCCTCTTTTACTGTGTAAAATCTATCCAGCTGAATTAGTTTCCAAACATTTCCAAATAGCATTGGTTAGTGCTACTCAGCGGGTAATAAGAGTTGTACCGTGTCATCCGTAGGTCAACAGACTGCTGATGTTGTTAGGGTTATCTTATCTTTGGCTTTGTAAAGGTTCCACAGAAAAATCATTGCTACGAATTGCAGCAGGTGTTTGAAAGGGCATTTACTGTGCAGAGAAGGTCAAGCTGGTAATAGTTGGAATTTTGGGAATTGTTCCGGCGTTTTTTTTTGTTTGGCCAATACTGCAGACTAACAATCAAGATATCCTGTTGTCTGCTGCAGCATTATGACAACTCCTCCAAATGTATGTGGGTAAAATACTTTATAGTCGAAAAGAACCCTCTGACACATTGGGTGTGTATAAAACCAAATAAAATTATTGTGTATAATGCTAGTGCAATATTAGAAATGCTCAGATATTTGTATTAGCTGTTGAGGTGGCCATTTGTGGAATTTCTCAACAACTATTTGAAAACCACAAACATTACAGCCACCATCAGGACGAATTGTAGTCACTTTGGAGATCCCTTCACCTTCCATCAAACAACCATCAGGTAACAATTACGATGTGTGTGCTGTCAGCGCATTTTAGAAGCATACATGGTGGAAGACTCAATTTAGGAGACAAGTAATGCCTGTTAGATTGCGATCACGTGTTTAGTTATATTACAATATATATATGTCCTTACACTCTTTCTTCACAGTAAAATGCATCAAGCACAAACACACAAACTCTGCAAGAAAGCATGCACAGTATGTGCAGATTTTCTGTGCATCAGCCGCTACGTGTTATAAGCCACAGTGCTGACAGTGAGTGTGACTGTAAAGCTCAGATAGAGCAATTTCCATAATGCACCTCTTTGAAAGGATGAAGCCAGGAATGCACTTTGTATTTTGTCAAGCTGTTCGGTGCGGGGTATTGTGTTTCTCCTTCCCTATTACGCTGATGTTATGCATCTCAATCTGCGAGAAGGATTGAAAGGGAGAGCAGAATGTGTTTGGGTGATTAGAAACGTGCAAATTGACTCGCAAAGTTGGCTCAAAGACGCCCTTGGAGCAAGGATTTTCACGTCATCTTACTATTGATGCGATAATGTGTTTAGGAGGAGTCCTGTGGGTTTGTTTGTTGGCGTGTCAAGTGTTCTGCTGTGCACAGTGTTAAAAGAATGTCCCCATACAGTCGGAGCTGTATAAAGTTATAACCATGACTCAACACGTAAGACAAGTAGCTCCGTCCGCTGGGCACTCCTCGCCTGGTGAAGAGCAACATTATTTGTTATCGCATAATTCATACCGTATGGAAATCTTATACCAGTATACCGTTTGAACCGGTACCTACCACCTCTAACATATTCTGAAAGACTGCAGGGAGACTTAGGCAGTGATTACAAGATTAATTTGCTTCTAATCAGACTCAGGCTCTCGTAGCAAGCTTATAGCATATTTAACCTAAATCAAGCCATTGTAAACATTTCAAACCTTTTAGCATACAAGAAATTGCTGTATTACAGTGCTTATTTACATCAATGTATTCCTCATTTGGAGTAACATATTTTTTGGCCATTTGAAGATCATTTTGCATTTTCTGCTTTCGGTTTCAAATTTGCGGAAATATGTGAACATCTGGTTGCTACCTCACTGTCTGCTCTTTGGTGCAGGTAACGTTAGCACGTCACCTAAGAAGACCAAACATGCAGTTTAGACAAAGGATAATAAAGGACAAGTTTGAGGGGACTATTTTAAATCTCGTGAACAGCTAAAATGACTTAAAACACTGTATGAGTTAAGTAAATTTACCGAGCGGATATTAAACCGTAAAGATGCTGGGAGTTGGTTTAATGCTTTATGAGCACAGACTTATACCAATATTTTATAGAAACGGTCCCAGGAAGAGTGAGTAATGCAGAATAAGTGAAATGTTAAATTGTTATGACATTGACATGATTACAGTGATTGAAATGGCGCTAACGTGGTGTTATGAAATGTCCTGTTAAAAGCAAGTACATGACGCATACAGTTTTTTCCTACCTCAGCTCACTCCAGAATGTATCTGTCAGCATTTTTATGATGCTGTTTTTTAATCCAATTCATCGATTAATCGAAAAATAAAAAATAAACGATTAATCGTTTTTAATAATTATCAAAATAATCGTTAGTTTCAGCCCTTATCTATACATAAGTATCTAATGAAAATTCAAGGGCCTTTGACACGGTTGGTTGAAAACCAGAAAAACACACCTGGATAAAATCATATGTGTTCAAATAAAAACTCCATCAGCAGAGCTATTGGAGCACTTATAAGGGAAAGTGAATCGGGAGGAAGTGAATAATTCTGACTTGATGCAAAGGAGCCCACAAAAAACCAGTGTGTTTATTTGAAGAATACTAAATCTAATCGTTCACAATTATCTTTTTGATTTTCATTAATTATTTACACTTTGCAAAATACAGATGCCCAATGTGACATCCTAAAAAGGATATCTGAAAAAAGGCCTTACACAGGTAATGTAATGTTGACTGTTCAAACTTCAGTCTTTACCACTAACATGTGATGGGCATTTGTGGTTGTTTACGAAGACATCTGGGGTCTAAACAGAACACATTTCAGACTCACAGACATCCTCCTACCAGACAGATACCCATGCGGC